AATAATTTATGAGTGCAGCCTGTTGTGAATGTATGACAAATATATTATTTTTTTCTTAAAGAAGCAGTGTTAATATCAAATTTATATTAAATTTTTATTATCGTGTATATGTATGCGTGTGTGTGCGCGCGCGTGTGTGAATTTCACTCGGAATTATTAAGAATATCAATGTTTATATAAATAACAAATTTTACTTTTCAATAATTTTAATATATCAATGTTTATAAGTATTATTGTTTAATTTGTCATAATTGCAGTAATATTGTTACTGTATAGACGCACATTTATTTTGGTAACACTGCATTGTTATTGAAATTTAATAAAAGTATGTGTAATAATATCTATGACAGTGATTTCAAATAATTCAATTGGGTAATACAAAACATGTAATACAAATATTATTATATTTTATTAACTAAATACTAGGTGTAAATTATAATGAAAAAGTTATAAAACTAAATGTTATTTTGAATATTCTGTTATGTATTGTTGTACATTCTGTTGTATATTTAGATTTATAAGCCTAGTAATATCTATTGTGAAAATTAGAGGTATTTTTGTCAAGCGCTAAAGTATAATATCACTAAATGATAAAAATATTTTATGAAAATGATTGTAAGACTTTTATTCTACGAAAATAGTAACAGTATGTTTTTCCTATTTCATTGGTTTATATAACGATATTTGAATGGATACAAATTATTGAAATTTGCTGTAATGTAATTTTTATATTTGCCATAAAAGTGGTCATATATTAGAATTGTATTCTTATTATTCTTTCACCTTGAAACAGACAAAAAAGACAATATTATAAGATTTATTCTAGAATTAGTAATTTCTTTAACTTCACAATTTTATTACATATTATTTTAATATCATTCAAAAAATTCTATAGATTTATAAACATGTTACTTATAAACTGAATGATACTACAAACTACCAAAAAAATTTCTATTCTTTTTTAATGTTTAATATTTTCGGTTATTAATTAATGTTTTTGTAAACGTGTTATTATAGCTTAGCAATTGACCATATATCTCGGACTTCTTTGACTAAAAATATAATTCATTCATAAACTATTAAGTTATAAACTTAAATTACACGAAATTTAATGAAATTAAATTCTATAAAATTGAAAATTTATTTTCAAAATCAATAATTAATGTATAAATTTTATGTACCCTATATTTTTATTCATACTATAGTTGGTATTGACATATGCATTATGTTTCTAAAAAGTTTAAACTATTATTATTTTCCATCTGTAGAACATCAGATTAAAAAAAATTCATTATATTTCAATGGCATTATGTAAGGCAATCAATCAAAAATAATGTATGCTGTATTTTTGTAGCAAAAAAGTATTTGAATATGATAAAGGTTTCTGTACTGTCTGTCATAGTCTTTTTGCAGAAATGAATATATTTTATTATTTGATATACCCTTCCCTGTGTCCACAGGATTGGGATACAGTGCCTATTTATAAACTCATTTCTATTTTTCCAAAAATGAGTCACATTTTAATGATGGATTCAGAATTCAAGAATTCAGAAGATTGAATAAATAAAGAATCCATTCTAGGATAAACTAATATGATAAAACATGACTAATAATGTAACTTTTATTATAACATTTTATGTTTATATGTATAATGTACATATTTTGCAACTAATAACTTCCTTTGGTAAAGCCTAATTATTCTTTTCCTGTTCATGAGAAAATAATTGAAGTCATTTAAAAACATGTATTATTATAAAACAAGATTATAGTGTCATAAGATTAAAAAATTACAAATATATGACCAATGTAAAATATGAATTTATAATTCATATTATGTATAAAGTAAAAAAATAACATTTGGAAAATGTGTAAATATTATTTGCATAAATCATGTCATAAAAATTGGTTAAAAATTTTAAGAATATAGCTTTCATAAATGGACAAAATTTAATACAAATCACATTCCTAGTTATAATATCTAATATTTTTTTTAATATGTTTTCACATTGTACATTATTTTAATCATTTAATGAATGCAAATATAAAGCAGCTAGTATAGAAAATATTCAGGAAGGCTTAAATCAAGAAGATCAAATAGAATATGTATAATTTTCAATCGTTAGAGTGAGTCATATATAGGTAAATTATGGCTCTTTAAACTTATAAAATTATTACAATAAATTAAGCATTATAATAATGTGTCGCATGATAAAATTTTAACCAGTTATAAAAAATCTTATATATAAATCACTTTATTAATGAATTAAAATCTAAGATATGTATAGATATGTAAGGATTGGATTTGTATTGTCATTCATAAAAATGCATTTGCATTTTCAATGAATAATTAGTAAAAATGTATATATTATCACGTTGGGTTTGGTATGTTTTTCGTAATTTTACTTTTTTTTTTTTAAATTAAAGTTGCATTAAAGATGCAGCTATCTATATCCGCACATAATTAAGGATGATATTCATACACATATACTGCAGTGTATATGTACATATGTATATATGTACTCAATTGTATTTTAACTATATAAATTTATAGAGACCAGGGTATTGCACATTATACATCATTGTCAATTGTGTGTATGTTGTATATATCCACACGCGTACGTGCGTGCGTGCGTGTGGAAAGAGACTTACATTGTGTACGCGCATATGTAATGTATACATGTATAATATATATTATATATTATATACAGTATATTAATATATAATATAAAATGTGTGTGTGTGTATGTATATATATATATACACATATATATATAATATAATATATACACAAGCATTGTGTGTATGTATACTCTGCTATGATAAAGATAACATTTTGGCAAAAATTGGATAAATTTCTATTTTGTGCAATAGCTCATAATTTATGAATATTTAAAAAGTATTGTTTTTTTATGAACAGTAATTTGATTAAATAGAAAATCCAATTTAAAGCATGAGTAAAAATTACGCATGCAAATATTTATTAATTGAAATAAATATAGTCAAATTTCACAATACTAAAACAAGTGGAAACAGAGTTATCGGTATAACTGGTATGGTTTTGCAATGCATAAATATATCTATAATATTAATTGTATTTACGTTAAGAACAAATAAATAATTTAATAAACTGTATGTTTATTTAGGGAATAAAGTCACAAATACTATAAATTTCTTTCTCAAATCCCATACATATAACAGAAAGGATAATTAATACTGCTCCAATGATACTTGTGGATGATGGTTCTTCCTTAAAAACATATATTTGTACAATATATGCTAAAATAATATCTAATGATCTGGTAATAGATACTTTCCCTGCTCCTTCAATTTTTAAGGCTTTTGTCACAAGAACTTGTCCACAAAGTCCAGTTATTGATAAAGAAAGTATGTTGCCCCATGAAAACCAGTCATTTGGTAGAATCAACTTGTATTCATGATTTTCAGAAATAATGAAGAAGAAAAATGTTGCTGCTATGAGTGACCAGGCAGATAAATTTAAAACAATTATTGAATAGTGTATTTCTAGACATTTTCTCATTATCACAATATTTAAAGCTGTGAATAAAGTTGCTGTCAGTGCACATATATACCCCATAACATCATATGTTTCTGTTTTATGTATCTACAAAATAAAATTATTACATGAATCCTTTTAATATTGTACATGAATGCATGTAAAATAACTGGTAAGTTCTTAAATGTGTTCAATAAAATAATTATTGAATATTTAACATTTTAATTAACAATATCTAATTATAAATATTATTAACACATTGCTTTTAACATTATATAAAGCATAGATGAACTTGTTATTCTTGATTTTAAAATAAAAGATATTTGTATTTAATTCAATATAAATCATTTTTACCTGAAATAGTAATGGTGGTCTGGCTACAAGTATAACACCTGTAAAAAGCACACAGACAACTACTATGCGCAATAAACCACATGGCTCTTTCAGCAATAGGAAAGAAAGTGCAATAACAATAATTGGAGAACTAAATATAATTGTCGTAGCATCGCCCAAAGGTAATTTTCTAAAGCTGTAGTATAATAATAATAAAGTCATACCACCTACAAAACCCTATATAAAATATACACATTTTTATAAAATATATACTATTAATATTAATATTGGTTTATATAACATTAAACATTACACTGTATATTAAAACTCTGCATAATTTTTATAACAAATATTAAATATAATACTAATAATCATTTGTAAAATAATAAAACCAGATATTATTAATAGAAACAAATAGAAAGTATGAAATAATAAAAAACATATACGCTCACATATATGATATGGCAATATACATACCTGAAGATGTATAAGCATTTGTTGACCCTTAGGCCCTAGAAAATTCTTAGATGTTTTAATTGCAACAATAACCATTGCTAATATTTGCAGAATTGCTCTAATTATTAGTAATAACATCGGATCAACATTACGGACTACTTTTACTAGAGCAGAACTGATTGTAAAAAATGTACCAGACAGGAATGCTAAAAATACACCAAACCATTTTGTACCTTCCTGGTATGTTTCAATATTGTTAGCAAATTGTTCATTATAATGGTAAGCAGGGTGGACACTATTGTAAGAAGTTGTAGATTCAATGCTGAACTTCATAATTCAAATTGTAAACCTGCACAATACACAATTTTCTTGAATGTAGTACATATAACAGACTACTGTCTACTGTACATCTGTTCCATACAATTAGCTTATAGCTTAGTGCGTCAAGAAGATTAACAGAGGATTAATAATCCTTAAAAGATGGAGTGAAATGAGATATCAAATATTTACATTAAAGCTAATTGTAAAACATAATGCTGCAAATATATAAAAAGAAAAAAGTATATGTAAAGATAAGAAAAGATTAAGCTAAGTAGAATATATTTTTATTAATTTTCTGTGGTATAATACATATCTATATACTTTAATATGTATTTAGACTATTTCAAACGTATTTGTTTTCAAATATATTATTTACTTATAAAATATATTATTGTCAATAAGTATAGTTATATCACCTGTGCATGTCCTCACACAAACACACATACATATATACATGCTGGGTCTCTCTCTCTCTCTGTACGTATGTGTGAGTATGTATGTATGTGTGATAATAAAACTATGTAAATGTTGGATTAACTAATAAGTAATATCAAAATTTTCCGTATTTTCGTATTTTATATATAAATAAAAAGCAGTAGTATTTTATATTAAATATTTTGATATTACTCTTATTGAGCAAACCAATAGTTTATATGCATATAATAAGTTAGTCCTTTCCAAATTTTAAACTTTTGTCTGGTTGATCGATACGGTATAAATTGTTTCCTAAATTAAAATATCCCAAATATTCTATAGTCTCAGGAGTAGTATCAATATGATAATGTCCTCCTTCACCATGGTGTGAGAAACTGTGAAAATGTTGAACTCTCAGATCTAAATCCTATAAAAATATAAAATATTCAAATAATATTTTATTATAGTAATCTTATAAACCATAACTTATTAAATACTTTAAATAGCTGCAGCAGAAATTAACCAAAAATAATTTATTTTTTGGAAAACTGTTTAATACTAAGTTTATGAATTCTTTTTATTTGTTCTCTATTAATTTAGTTCTATGTAAATAAATTGCAATTTTTAAAAAGAACTTACTGTTTCTGAACTCACAAATGTTCCAACAGCAACAAGAGGAGTTGACATATTATAAAAACGTAACCAATCATTTAGTTGCTGTACATTATTTAATGATTTAGTAGAAAAATCTTGCATTACATGCTGTTTTACTTTTCCTTTGTTAATTAAAAATGTTCCACCAATGCCTATTTAAAAAATTGTACTAATTTTTCTTACTTAAATAAGACTATAATGAATTCTGTACATACACAAATAAAATTTATTTACCAACAAGTTTATTTTCATAATGGTGTGCAAGTGCTTTTTGCATAGAAGCTACAAAATCATCCTCTCCAATGCGCTTTTTAACATGCACTTTTAAAACGGATCCTGTTTCACCTTGACTTAAAAAAAGATTTGCTAACAATGCAAGTCGTGTTTCATTGCCATTTAATATTTCAAGTGTACATTTTTCACTCGACTTATCAACTGAAGCAATACGTGTTTCATTCTTTATTTCAGATGATGAAATTACTAAATTCATCATTAACTAAAATATTATTGATTATAATATGAAAATAAATAAGTATGGAATACATGTATACTCATTTTCGTACTTCACAATTGCAATTTAAATATGGCCATGGTCCAGCACCTGCACCAATAACAAAAGCCTTATCAGAATAGTTTAAGTGTTCGAGAAGCTGACGAATGTCATATATCTTATCCCTTTGAACAAGAGGCAATAGATAAGATGGACCTCCGAATTCAAGAATCGTAGGGTTGCCACTTAATCCTAATAACATTTTTATTTAATTTTATGATTAATATATATGAATTCCATCAAAATAAGTTAATATAAAACTTGATGTTTGACATGATAATAAAAATTATAAAATACAAATAAAGTAATACCTGAAGCAGAAAGTAAAAATGGTTTCTGTGTTAAATCTGGACAATCTACAACTTCTACTTTGACTTCTGCAAAATTTGTAGATAATCCTTCTTCTAAAACTGTAATATGACATATAAAATAAAATTAAAAATACTAAAAAAAGCAGTTAAATCAGTACAATCATTAATAATATTTACCATTTTTTATTTCATGAAGACTTGGTACATATAATGGTCTTTCTGTAATTTTCAATTTTTTTACATCTAACGTTGCCATATTGTTGAAATGTATATTTTTCTCGAAAAATAAATTATACAATATAAGTTATAATTAAATGTACTGGATTCAAGTTTCTAAATTATTTTAATATATTAAATTAATTACAAGATATAATAGTTTATAAAATAATAATTTACTTTTGGTAAAGAGAAAATACGTTATAACTATAAGAAGATGATAACTGCAAACGCTATCTAATCACATGCTCCTATTATATGACCTCACTGAAGCAAATATACATGTACTTACGTTCACATAATGTTAGGTTAATAACGTATCATTGGATTTTACACCGATAAGAAAAGATACTCTTTCCATAAACGTTATTCTATCTTATAAAAAAATATGATTATCAGTTGAGAACATTCATATATTTGAAATATGACAATGAATCAGGAAAATACTGCTAAAAAATATTTAAATATTTATATAAATTATAGGAATTGGAAGTCATAACAAAGTAGAAATTTAGTATAATCGTTACTAAAATATTGAAGTAAAAATCATACTTTTCCAGAAGGAAAAAGAATCATCTATTTGTTCGTATGCCTATGAAAATATGTGCATCTTTGACATAACAAAATTCTCATATAATAATACTTTTCTCTATACAATAGAATATTTGAGGCAAGAATAACATGAAGTAGATGAAAAGAAAACGTACTTTTTATTAATGCGAAATCAATCTTTTTATTAATACAAAATCAATCGATCGCGATTACTATATAAATTATAGCAGATAGAATTCTATACTACTAAGTTATAGCATAAAATTCTATCGGTTTTAATCAATTCCATTGCAGTTGAAAGAACACAACAAAATTACGCTACTATAAATATATAAAGAAAAAATATTATTGTTCTTCACAAGATAGTATTAGTTTTGTGTATCTCTCTCTATATATATATATATGCTGCACATTGACAAGTTTATACTTGACATAAGAATCCTCTACAGGTTTTACCTTATACTTAAAAGTGAGTGAAGCAAGAAGTAAAATATAAATATGCAAGAATGTTACAAAATACTGAATTGAAGGCGTTACAAAGTCGATAATGCAGAAATGTAGCTATCAATGGTTCACTTTATTAAATTAATTATATACATTTGTAAAAGATATCTTATAATATTTATAAAACTATAAAATAATCATTAACAAGAAGAGAGTACTTTTTTCTCATGATCGCAACTTTAGATAATAAATTATAATCCTTAGTATCGTCATCTTAGGAATGTTTTAAGCACATAATTTATTACTTGTTAAATTTAATAATTAAAATGAAATTATGCCTTGTCTCCTGTACATCATTCATACATTGACGACAGATTCATTCAAAAGTTCAAAAGTTAACTTAGAATATAACGCTTCTCTGTAATTGGTCTATGCTGACATTTAATTTGATATATCAGCAAAAGATTCATTTTCATTATAATCAAGAGTAACTTTTGACCTAGTATAATCATATTTTCTTTTCGTAATGGTAATACTGTTTCGCATTTCATTAAATATATCATTAGACAATTTTTTCATCGTTCAGGTGTATAATTCAATGAGCTATATATATACAAATCTTTTATTCGTAATGATACACAGTAATATCGTGGTATTATAATGTGATAATAATAAATGTAATTGGAATATTGTGATATAGTGGGAATAAGAGATAAAAAACTCACGAGCTAACTTTGCACGTCTCTGACTACTTCGTGTAATAGCATTATGTAATTTTGATTCTGTAAACAAGTTTCTTCGAATACATTAAAAGCATTCGGGAATTATTTTTTTTTAATTCACATTATAGCATTCTAAATATCATTACATTTACAACGTAAATTTATATTGTTTAAATTATTAAAAATATTGTTTGATTTAATATAAAACTTTTCTTGTGCGCAAAGTATTCTGTTTACAACTTATGTTTGGTTATAGAATGTACGATTATAGTGCATTTTTAGATATAACCGTCACGCGAGAATATCTTATGTAATCACAATTGTAAAAAAGATTCATTCGCTATTACTTTTGATACAAACGTAAGTTTTAAGTTTGGTTTGAAATTTCGTACGAATCATAACATTTTCTAAATTAACAAGAAATTAACTATGATATTAATTTCAGAATAAATATTTCAACTGATTTACAAATTGGTCTTTATTTTACTATAAATATTTTAATACTAAAAATTAACGAAATAGTTGAATAGATTCTAATACAATAACAAAAAACTGTTTAATAATATGAAAATTTTGATAAATGTATTACTTCTTAATATAATAATGTATTACATTTTTGTTATAAATTTCAAACTATTTATTTTTTCTCAACTTCAAAATATAATATAATAGCAATTTTATTTATAAAAATAAAATGTATATAGCTATTATATAAAATTAGTAATATCAATATACTGGAAATGCATGATAATCATCCTAATGATAAAATTTAAGGATGTCTGAGAGACAAAGTTCTAACTGGACCAAGATCCAAAAACAATTGAAACAAATATAGATGTACAATATTGTTTTTAAACATTAAAGTATAATGAGATCTTTTCTAATAATCTTTTGTTATTATTTTGTCATACAATAACAATAAGTCACTATCATTATCAAAGGCGAAAATTGCTTATAACCCTATTAAAATCAAATTTTTTATTCATAGTAACTCAACTTAATAAGTATTATGTTTTTTTTAAACCCTAAATTATTTTTTTTAATATGCTATGAGGTTTTAGGTTTTTAGCACAACGTTCATGTAACTCGAGTTACATATTTTCTGTGAGATTTTAAATTTATAGAGATTGTTTTATAATTGTATCATAATGAGAATCTAATTATATCACTATGAGAACTAATAAAAAGGAAAAGCTTTCATGACAAAATAAAAATGTTGCAGAAGTAATAGTAAAAGTAGACATACATACATATATAAAAAAGCAAATCATTTTAAATAGGATAGAATAGGTAAATATTTATACAATAACTACATCAGTACCTTCGAAGAGGTATACATGCATGTAAATATATATATATATATGATTCTTTATATAAATATATACATATACACATTTTATAAATATAATATATGTATACATATTAGACCATCCTTTTTACAAATAGTAGAACTTCAAACAAAATGTATAATACATTTTAAAGTATATCTTTAATAACCATTTTTACAAAATAATTATTTATTACATTTATGAGCAACTATTTTTGAAAATACTTATTGCAATTTTTCTTGCAATAGTTTTTCAAGTTTGCGCACATCTACTGCAAATTTACGAATACCTTCGCTTAGTTTATCAGTTGCCATCTGATCCTCATTTAAAAGCCATCTGAATTTGGCTTCATTTAAATTGATTTTGTGTAGATCGCTTTTCTTAGCTGCATCCTCTGTTAATACTTTACGAATAGGTTCGTTGCTTTTTTCCAATTCTTCCAATAATTTTGGACTTATAGTTAAAAAATCACAACCAGCCAGTTGCTTAATTTCACCTAAAATTTGTATATATCAAACTGTCTATATATTATTTTTTTTTTAAATTCATAAGTTTACCTGTATTTCTAAATGAAGCACCCATTACAACAGTTTTATAACCAAACTTTTTATAGTAATTATAAATTTTTGTAACTGATAATACTCCTGGATCTTCTTTAGCTTCATATACTTTCTTATCTGTGTTTGCTACGTACCTGTAAAAATGATTAATATGAATAATTATAATTTTAAAATGTTAAATTAAATAGAACATCTACCAATCAAGAATTCTGCCAACGAAAGGTGAAATAAGAGTTACTCCAGCTTCTGCACAAGCAATAGCTTGAGTGAAAGAAAATAAAAGAGTTAGATTGCAATGAATGCCATACTTTTCCTCAAGTTCTCTATAAAAATATATATTAAAATGTATTCAATATTAAATATTATTAAAATATAATGATAGTATAATATATATAGTAACGCTTACTTTGCAGCTTGAATACCTTCCCAGGTAGAAGCTAATTTAATTAATACACGTTCCTTGTCTACTCCATTTTCTTCATATAAATCAATCAACTTTTTTGCTTTTTCAATGCTAGCATTTTTGTTGAATGATAGCCGAGCATCTACTTCTGTAGAAACTCTTCCAGGAATAATATTAAGTATTTCTTTACCAAACAAGATACATGTGAAATCTAATGCTGCTTCAATTTGTTCTTCTAATGTGCTAATAATAATATATGTTTTTAATTAAAGAGAAAAAAATAAGTAAATATTTTTACTTACGATCCTGTTTTTTTGCCATAATGAACAGCTTTGTCAATTAAATTAGCATATTTCTTTTGACTGGCTGCAGCAAGAATCAAGGATGGATTGGTAGTTGCATCAGTCGGTTTGAATTGTTCCATGGCTATAATTAAAGATTAAGTCATATATAAAGTTAACATTAGTTAAACTGCAGTTTTAATTTTTTGTAAATTTTTATTTTTTCCAAAGATGTTTAATAAAACAAAGCATCAATAATTCAATTCACTCTTCAGTCATTTAATTCGAACCAATGACCATAGCTTTATTATTAAAAATTATTATATAGGATACTGTATTAAGGTATTATTAATAAAACATAGTATTAAATTGTAATTTATTATTTATTGCCAAGGTTACTTTGCATATGATCATTGTAAAATACACGTATTAAATAAACCTGCTTCATATTGCGTTTAACAATAATTGATGGCAAAATAATTAATAATTTTAATTTTAGTACTGTCGTTATTATATAAAATTAATGCCATTTCAAGTATTTCAAATACGCAACAATAAATGTTATTGTTTTACATACGAACATTTTTGAATTGGTCGCGCGAACATATCGATAACATTTTTCATGTATATATATATATATACTGTTATTTTATTTCTTTTTGATATTAAATTCTACAGAATAATTAATATTTGGATATATCACATCTACTATCGAAGAATTAATCGTAAGAAACAAATCATGCGTTTGTGTTGTGTCTATTAAACCAAGTTCGGTAACCTTCACCTATGCCCGGAATCGTATGACTTTAAATATATTTTTTTTACTTGAATTATTATTCGCTTACCTTCAAAGTCACCGGTGTCGGCAACAACTGTTGTCATCTCTTTTAATTGAGCCAGTGAACTCGACATCTTCACTTTCTTTAATTGTGGCTCACTCATTCTATCGTTACCTTTATAAACTTCGAGTACATTGAAAATTTTGTCGACTGGAGCGCGTAGTTGCCAAATGCTTGTGAATGTTATCATCTGTGACGTTATAGTATGATGGCGCTGATGAAACATTAAATTATAAATACAAAGTTAGAAAATTCAAGTATTTTAAAATGTAAAATATAAAATTACAATATTATAATATTTGAAAATAATAGAAAGATAACGAACAAGTAATATAACTACTCTTTTTTCGTATCTATTTTTTGTATTAATTTATATCTGATATAGATCATTATATTATAAATATCAATATTTATAGATTCAAATAAAAATTGTACACAAAATATATTTTATTGCTCATTAATAAATAGTAAATATATGTATCTACGTATGTACATATATACTGCATTATAATAATATTTTTATTCAAATGTTTATTCTATTAAGGTTTGAATGAAAAAAAACTGTTACATATGATGACTTGCAAATTTTATTATAAAGAATAATATGTGAATTCACTGTTATAAATAAATCTATAGAAGATAATTGTTCTTTTAAAGCTTTCTTATTAAATATTTTTGTTTGATATTTCTAACAAGAAAGAAAAATTTGAAAATATTAATTTGAAAATGCTAAATGAAGTGGAAAATAACTTCTTACATGATTAAAAAATTATTAATCCGAATAATTTTTAATAGAAAAATAGTATATATATATATTAAAATTATAAAAAATTGTTAGAATTATACATATGTAATGGTTATTCGTACAGATATATAAAAAATAGATATAGGGAATCTATATTTCCATAATTAATTCAAAGATTTCATAACTAAATGACCTTAAAAATTAACAACTATGGTAGACCGGTAATCTCTATTATATCAACGCGTCTTGAAGGTAGGACTGACTATGAATCGCAGATGCGAGATGTATTCATGTAAGAATTAGAATGTGCGTTCCATTTCATGAATGTGATATGACGCATTTCATGCATTGTCTTAATGAAATTAAATAAATCTGAAGAGAAAAAAAACTAAACTCATGGTAACATTAAAAGTAGGCTTCAATTATTAATAGTTCATTTGTTTTCTTATGTACTTTGCAGTCGTTTTTTAATTCCATATCTTCTTGCGATATTAATAAAATTATGCGTTCGTTATTCTAATTAAATTAGAATTATTATTCTGTCTTTGCTTCTTATGCTGAATATATTTAAAAGAAAAAGAAAATAGTTACGTGGAACCACATCTTGTATATAGTTATGTTGAGCAATTTTATATTTTAATAAAGTTCTTTTTTAAATGATTAATATTATAGTTATCGATTTATAATGTTGATAAATAAGCAAGTTAAAAGAAAGAAAAATCACTATATAACTTGAAGATAAACTGTTAAACTCAAATTACATCATAATGGCTTCATTCAGCAAAATAAACATTTACATTTAAACACCACCAATCGTTTTATGCCTTTTCAATATGTTTGTCCAGCGGTCCCTATTCTTTTGCAATATAGTAAAAGAACGTTTACTACTTAAGTTCAACACATCATAAGGACTTCTCAGTTAAAATTTGAGGTGCCAAAAATATAATCTAATATGATGGATCAAACAGAGAAGAATGGAATTATTAAAAACATTTCAATTAAATTAAATTACATATCAATTAAAATAAACATATAATTAATTTAAATAATTAATCTCATTAATGTTAATTGTATATAATCAAAGTTCCATTTCAATTTTATCATCAATTCAAGATTACGAACATGTGAATATTATCCATTCGGATATTGATAACGCACGGTTGGAAATAAAAGAAAACTTTAGTTCAATAAGCTGTATAAAAGAAATTATAGGAGATAATTTATGTATTTTTAATTGTCTAAACCACTGTGCACAATTTAACTTTGATTCATATAAATGATATAGAAAATAGTAACTGCAATAAAAATATTGCAAATGTAAATCTTAGAGGGCAGTTATTTATATCCTATATCCCTATTTCCAATACTCTATCAAAATAGCATCCTCCCAAGAATTTAAAAGGGAAAGATAATAAATTAAAAGTACTATAAGATCTATTTAATAGGATATTAGAATGTGAAGAAAGAATAATAGATTCAAATCATATGATAGATAGAAGGATCGAAAAACAGAATAAAATTCAAGAGAAAAACTATTTTAGAATATTTAATTTCTTTATTAGATAATGTATGCAGAGAATGATCATTAGAATATAGAATATAAGGATAAATAAATAAGAAATATTTAATTTAATTAATTTAGTTTAATTTAATTTAATTTTTATTTAGATTAAGGTCTTCATCTAATATGATGGTCTTCATTGAATCCATCATTAATACTTTTTTTTTTATGAATTACTGAATGTAGCCAATGATATCAATTTTCTCACTAATATAGTTATTTCTAAAAAGTTCTATTTGCCATAACTTTTTTCATTAAAATATATTATTTAGGAAAGTAAATGATATTGTAGTAGTCATGCATTAATCGATTAGTACGGATTATAAATGTATAAAAATTTTAATAAAGTTACGAAACTATTTATTATAAAATTTATATATTCTTTTATTTTTATAAGTTAAGGATAGGTAATAATATAATTAAAACTGTTTCCCATTTTCTCATGGCATTATAAATTGACATTTATTTAAGTATTTGTTATATTTTATTTTTGATATTAATTATCAATAAAACATGAAGGTCTCTCTTTCTCTCTATGGGCTTAAAGTGTACATACACAGGTAACATTTTCCTTTACAAATACTTCTTCGTTATCTATTACTTAGCATAATATTCAAAATAAGAATTTATTTCAAAATGGAACAGAATATATTATTTATTTAACAAGTACGAATTTTATATTTAAATAATTCTATAGATAAGACAATATGAAAAAGAAATTTAATTTAGAAATTTAGAAATGTAAATTGATTGAATAAAAATGAAAAGTATTGATAAACAAAAACAGAGAAATCATGTTACTGCCATAGTAAGCTGTAAAAAAATATGATTAATTATGAATTCGTAGTTTTTTAAGGAGTAGAAATCAACTTTTCTTTAATTTTTATTAAATTGAAAGATAACTTACTTCATAAGCGATAGTGGAGGCATGCCAGGATCTGCACCTTTTCTAAATCCTACAAATATATATATATGTAAGTATATTTACCAATATTGAAACACTTATCATACACACTGCCTTATAAATATCAATAAGTATTTATAATAAATATATCAAGTAGGAAATAACAAAATCTAACCTAAAAAGAGGACAGTAGGAATAAAACCCCAATGAAATATAACTTTGCTAACATCTAAGACAATAGCAATCTTTTGCTTTGTACTTGGACTTATAGCCATTTTTAGAAAATTAATTTTTGATTGATGATCGAGAAAATACCATGTGCCTTTTCAAAGGAAATCTTAGTCCAATAATCTCAATTAACGCAGATATGGTGTTCAATACTTGAAAATATAAGTCATATATTCATGTATATAGAATGAGATCTTATTCATTTTTTTTGTGACAAATCAGGTAAGGTTATAACGGAATGTAATTTATTCCTGTTCTGTTATAGGTGATTTTGTGAACGTTTAATTATTAAGGCATATGTACAACAATAAATGATAATGATATAAATTTAATTTGAAATGTTGAAGTTTAATCTTAATGAATTTTGTCTTTATAATTTCAAATTAATGTTCACAAAATAGAATTTTATTAAAGATTAATTAAAGGTATAAGATTGTTTTTGTGTAAACATCTCATAAAAGTAATTACGTATATGAACATTGTTAATATATTAAGAAAACATAAGTATTATAAGTTTGTGTTCGATTAAATGTGATTATTGAGTTATAGATCATGTGGTTATTATTGAATATGTAAACATATTTTATCATTTTAGTATCAACAATTTCAATGATGAGTGAAAGAAAAAAAATTCAATACTTTTGTACCCATTTTATAATACCTATAATTGCTTATGAAATTATAGTATTGTATTTGTATAGTATTGTATATATATTATGATTTTATAGTATTGTATAGGCTAATTGATACTATTTTGTAATACTATCTTAGTACTATGTACATAATTGCGCATGGGGATTGTACGATCCAAGGGAATTTGGTGGCGATGAAGAAACTTGTTCTATTGGACATGAAATAGTTTTTATGATGTAAATAAAGTTTTTTTATTATTATTTTGAATAACAATACTTAAAATTGTTAGATAAAATTATATTCTTTTATGTTTACAGGACAATAATCTTAGGAATATTAGGTACAATCATGATTTGCTGGATTTGTTTTTATTGTAACATGAGAGAGACATATTGGTATAATAAACTTGATAGTACGATTAAATCCTGACTTACAAATAAAATTGGCAATAACAAATAAGTATTTAGAGATATTAATGGATAAAGATACTTGTAATATATGAAAAAATCAGAAGAATAATAAAGAGAAGGGCAACTTTTTCATTTATTATTTACTGTGATAAAGTATTGACATTTTATATATTTTTTGTTTATAATTACAATTTTTTTTTATAATTACTATAGTTATATAATATATAATATATAATAATATATAATTAATAGGAAGAAAATTATAACTACAACTGCATGATATATATATATAAAAATTTATATATTTTACATTAATTATTTTTGACTAGTAGAATGATAAATGAATTTATTATATTATTTCAAATATCTCATGTCTCTAAAATCACTATAAAAGTAAATATTCAATATTGTATACTCATGTACCTAATATATATAGTATGCATAACAATAATAAAATCAATTAATTTTATGAAAATGTAACCATATATACTATGATATTATATAAATATTAAAATAAGATATGTATATTAAGTATTTTGTATCTGTATATCGTATTTTTACGATAGTTATATTTTTTATTCAATTATTAGAGATATTAAAAGATTATAACAATTTTATAATAGTCATAATATAAATATTAACTAATAATAATATAAAATTATGTATTTTTATACTTATTTTCCTTTTATATTTTACAATTCTTTAAATCTACTGTCGGTAACAATGGAATCTGTATGAATAATTATACATGTTGGCTGCACTGCATTACATGACGTCATGAATGAGTCCCGAAATTGAAATCAATAAATGGTGTGCGATGTTGTGTGCACATGCTAGTCGGAGGTGATTATGTCAAAACGTAGCACGAGTTTGTATTGTTTTTGATCGTGAGAAAGTGGAATAAATGTTTTTTGCCAAAATGACTGGTAGCACGAAGAGGAAATTAGCGATATTCATAGGAACGTCCAAATGTTTAGTTTATGTAAGTTATATTACGCTTATGTAATTTTATTATATTAATCAAGCACAATTGTTTCATTACATTAAAGAAAATTATTGAAGTATTTATAAACAAAAATTTTCTTTGAGAAAAAGCGAATATTTCGTTTTATTGAGATCTGTTCATGAATAAAATAGTTGTTTAGCATCGGTTTGTTGCAAGTATTTAAAAGCAATCGTAGAAACCGTATTCACTTAAAATATATTGAGTTTTATATATTATTTTTATTATCAGATTGTTATTAATGACAAAATTCTTTTAGGCAGAAGCCAAATATTGTGCCTCTGAAATGCCTGAACAAGTGAAATATTATGAGTGAGTTACATGTTTTATACGTTATATTTAATAATTAATGTATCTTAAAATTTTTATTTGTACATACGTGATTTATAATGTTTATATTTATTATAATGATATGTGAGAATTACATAAGATCGATACATTCTTTGATTTGCATATATTTAATTTTCATTATGAGAAATATTTTTTAACGAATTTATATGAAAATGATAAGTTATTTTGATCTCAGATGTTCAAGAAGTGAATACTGTTGCGCCTTCGGCTGCTGCGTCTCTCCTGGACTTCATTTTCATCATTTATGGTATTATTGGTGCGTAAATTTTTAATAATTATAAATCGAGATTTGAATTCGTTACTTCAATTTTTCATATTAACGTTATGATTTTTTCATTTTCTTTTAGGATTTTAGTTATAATTATGTTTCTGGTGTGTTCCGGAGGTGGTTGGTGGTATCGATATAGGTTACAAGGAAGATATAGAACCACTGCATCCACAATCCCAAGTAGATCTTCCAACTCGAGAACGCAAAGCACATTTCGAGGTCAAGCTTGTCAACCACAACAAGCCCGTATCTCTTATAATTCAGCAAGAAACACCGTCTTATTACATCGTATGTGGAAAGGCTAGTAAATTTTCTTTCGATATCATTTTTATTGATTGTTGAATATTTAACTTTGATGAAGTTATTTTTTAAATTTATCTTTTGTTGATACAGTTAGACACCTACGATATCGTATTTTAAAACTTCCCAATTTTTTCAGAAAGAAATTGATTTAACATTTAAAAATGAATTCTTTACTGACTGATATTACTTATTACACTTAAGTTCAAAAGTCTTTATCTATAAAAACTTTTCGGAAATGTATATAACGCTCGATAGCCCGTGAAATTTATAGTTGGCATATGAAGATGGTATTTTCTAAAGTACAGATCTTTCGTTAGGTCCTCAAAGGAATGGAACGTCTCCCAATTTCAACGGGAACGCAACGACATCGACGTATTATCAAAACATGAATGTAGTGTTGAACGACACCAATTGTCCCTACTATCAATTATATGGTCCACCGCCGAGTTACGAAACGGTGATCGCTCAGACTCGAGGGAAAGCGTCGTCGACGCCAACATCACCAGAAGCAAGAGCTACCAGATTGAATTTCGTAGCAGGGAGTAATGTGATAACGAATCCGAGCGCGCCTTCATATTTCGCTTATCCGTGCAGTCCAGCGAGATTAAATTCTACCATGATGGATCCGGGTTCGCGTGGTCAACAGTCCATGCAACAGTGTACAAACAGTCCGGTGAATTCACGACAGAACAACACCGAGGATTGTATGCAGGAGAATGCAGCGTACGTACGTTTTCCGCAGTATTGTCCGGCGGAGAATGTTATCGGTAGCGCTGCCATCGTCAGACAGAATTTTTGTGTTTCTCCTTTGAGACAGGAGCGGAGTTCGGAAATGCTCTCAACGATTGACACTTCTGAACGTCCGCCAATCGTTCATGGTACTTCGAGAAAAGGTAAAACGCTTAAGTCAGAAGTCGATTCGACCGGCTCGAAAGAACGGATGATTTTGAGAGATATTTGTGAGGGCGTGGACTGTACGATATCTCAGATGCATGGACACACGAAGTTCGAAAGTTGTTCCTCAAAAGAAAGATACGGACAGCATCGTCAGCAACTATGGAAAGAGGACATGAAAGACGATGACGTAGATGAATTTTTCTCGGCCGTTCGTTCGAGGAAAAGGGAGAAATCGGATGAGATCGTCGTTGGCCGGATTAATGCTGGTGGATTGTACAAATTTGTCGGAAGATATGCCACTGGTTCGAAACACGATGAGGATAAGGAGGAAGAAGAAGAAAGAGAGGAAGAGGAGGACGAGGAAAAGGAAGTCAGGGATTCCTTAGATTCTCACGAAAGGATCTTCACGCGAACAACTTTTGTTTTGTCCGAGAACGCTAAGGGGGAACATGATTTCGCAAATCGTGTTGTTACGGACGTCGCTACGAGTCCTCAATCAAATCCATCCAATAATGTGATAGCGGGGTCATTCGTTTCCGCCGCGAGACATTTCGACGCGACGAGAACGATCATCGACTCTGGTTTTGAAAGTAAACGTAGATTAGACAGGTCAAAGTCGTTAGATTAAATACCGCGTCTCTTTTTATCTGCGCTCCGATGAATGATTCCTCGTCAATCGATCGATCGATCGATCGTTTATTCATGTATACGCTGTTCGTTGTGTCTGATTGATCCGTCCTCCATGTGGAAAAAAAGGATGCATGTGTTGAAACCGTTCAAAGGAATCGCTTACGTCGCATGTGCCGGTAAAATAGATATGACTTTCGAATTTTCTATTATTTCAATTATATACTACGTACTAGGATAACACAGAAGTGTTTCGTGTTGTTTCTTCATTTTTATGCAAACTCGTACAACTTTGTGCAAACTCGCGTAAATGTTTATGCAATTATTTTTATTTAATGATTTTTCTTTTCTCTAATATTCTCAAACTTTATTGTTGATGAATTTCTCATTTATTTTCTTATTTCATAGTTTTCTTCCGTTTATCGTTAAACATTTAAAAAGATGCATATTTATGACCCATACATATATATTACATACATATTTCTTATTCTATATTACTGGGTGTGTGATATATTATGTTATGTGTATTTGGCTCGTCAAATTCCTTTTTTCTCAACAAAAACTGAATGTAAAACTTGTTTCTCTCTCTCCCTCCTCCCCTCTCCCATCTCCTCTCCATTTTTCTTTCTCTATTTTCGACTTTACAATTGAGTTAATTTTTTCTTCTCATTCAAAGATTCCGACGACGTATTACAAGTTATAAGCGTAACTTTTTCGACTTTCGGACATAAATTTATTCTTACATAGATATTTTACCTTGTGCTTAGGACATAGTCCAGTGTGCCCGTGCAAACGTATGTATATATATTGTGCATAGATATATACATATATATGTATATATATTAAACGTGTGATATTTAAAACACGTTTTTGCTATAGTTTCTTTTCCGATAAAATATATAACAAATTTCAATCGTGACTTTACTGGCTTTCTAATACGAAATTTTGTCTTTACGATTTACGATATATACGAGACCACTGCCTCTAGTGATATATAAGATCGGTGCGAATTAATAAGCTACGTACAATATGTTTTGTATAAGCTCATTCACGACTTGTATAATAGTATACCGTTATGTTATTTTTATTTCCCTTAAAACTCATTGTGATCATGAACAGTTTCGTTGTAAATAATCGGCAAAACATTTCCGCTCGCGGTGGTAGTTCTTTGCATTACACAAAATGTTCCTTTTGCTTATGCGGAGCTTCCGCATTTTCAAGTTGATGATTATTCATTCGATTTACGCACAAAGTGAAGAAAACAAATGAAAGAAGAAAAGATGTCGATCTTATATTTAGTCCATTTCACATTCTATGTCGATGTGATAAATGTCATTTTTCTAATCTTCTTCGTTGCACAGTTCGTTACACTTTATGAAACAGATAAATTTTAAATATTATATAATATTTGAATCCATAGGATAATTTACAATGACTATCTTGTCGTATTTTTTAATAAGAACCAATAAAAAATAATATATATATTATATTATATTAATATTCGTAGACGTCGACGATGGACAAACATCCGACGACGATGTCCGTTTCTAATCGGGCTCCTTAAGAGAGTTTAGTCTTTACCAATAATGCACGTTATTGCAATTTCAGTATTAAGGACTAACGAAAGCACAGTAAACAATCAATTATCGGAATATATAAACGTTAAACCGTAATTTTAGCGAAAGGATTTCTAGTTTGCTTGCGTTATTATACGTAATACGACGCATAACGACGATACGGGAAATTAATATTGACGAAAGCTTCCAACAAGAAACGATCGTACGTATGTATGTAAGTATGTAGAAAGAAAGAACAGAATATGATCGGGACAAAGATGAAGATACGACGATTATTATTCGATCGATTATACGGGTCCCAGTACGTTTTCTTGTATTAAAGTAACGCACGTTCTATTTCTTACTCGCTTATATATCCTTACGATATCCTAATCGATATAAGATCGCAATAAACATACGATTGCGTAACGTTAACGCGACGATCATTATGTATTATTGCTGAGGAAAGAAATATAAAAATTGATTATTTTATTATATATACATACACATACATATATATTGTATATCAATACGAGGTACGCTATTATAAAATAAGTATTACGTTCATCAGGGAATACACCTATTAGGTGTGTATATCGTGCGATGCCAGAAAATCTGTTTCTACAGTGCCACGTTCCGCCATATTTTGTTCTCTTTTATGAAAATTCGAAATGGAACTTATAGAGAGAAGTAAGAGAAATACAAAAGTAGAGAGGAAAAGGAACAAGAAGAAAGAAACGCTATGCCACTGTCTGTAACTAAGTTCTCAAACGTAATAGCGGTCCAAGATAAGCGTACATACGTGCCAATAGCGTCAAATTCGTTTAGATAAGAATGTAAAAAAAAGCGAATATAAAATATGATATATATATACACACGCATATGGACAGAAACATAGATACATATATAAACACACACAATCACGCATGCAAAGGTATATACGTATATGCGTGCATATATATATATACATACATATGCGTGTGCTATATATAGATATGAAATATACATACACTATTTTTTGTAATTGATCTTAATTTATTAAAGTGAATCTGTCCACCGAGGTAACACGCGAAAAAAGCATTAGCGTAATTGCGTACGGCGCCTCGTATTTGGTCAGGATCCCTAAAGATTTCCAGCATCACTATATTTTATGTGCGTACATAATCTATGTGTTATAACGATAGCTTTAAAAAGGATAAACAAAAAGCAAAAAAAAGGAACACCAAATCTAGATCCGATCTTCATCGTAATGTACAAAAGTCGCGCGATGTATCACACGAAAGAAGTCTACTACAAATGCGAAGAAATGAAAAGAAGATAGGCGAAACAAAAGCAAAACGAAGTAAAAATTGTAACTAACATGGAAGGACGTCTTCATGAAATAAAAACACGAAATATTTATTCACATAAAAAAAGAAAAAAGAAAAAAAGAATTACGCGTGTGTGTGTGTGTAATACATTTATGTATTATGTACATTTATTTATTATACTTCGATCTCGAATCCTTTTTTCAATAGAATTTCGACGTTGATTGTATCTCGGTTATACCTCAAGTAATTATAATACCAAATGTAAAGAACAAGATTCATAAGAGATATTATCGCGATATCGCGAGAGATATATGTATATATATCATTGAAAATAATTTAATTAGCGTAAATGTGAATTCTTTCGATTTTCAACGTCGAATTTCACTTTGACCTCTTTTTTACCACATATTTATCCTATTACCACCTAGAAAATATTATTCTATTAAAAATCATTCTTTTTTCAAAAAATTCAACGTAATCATTATCCTAAGCTTATTTTCTCTACTATCGTCGATCAGATTAATCGAGTGACTTTCAGAAGAACGTCACGAAGATGTAAATCGTTGGATGTAATCGTCTTCATAAATTGATGTTCGCGGATGTACGTAGACATTCTCCTCGTAAAAGATGGCAGCTTCGGCGTGACTAGCATCGTTCTAGAAATCAATATAGAAGAATAGAGAGAGAGAAAGAGATCGCGATAGAGGGCGGCTTCGTTGTTATTAGTAGCGACGGTAGTAGTGGTGGTGCTGGTGTTGCTGCTGTAAAAGCATCCCCCATGCATGTCGTCGAGCAACCATCAAAAGCGAGACGCGCACGGGTTTCGCGGCCACGTTGGCAAATAGAGAAGATGCCATAGCTATAGCGAGAAATCAAACATCTCAGACGTAATCTTTCTTTACCCTCATTTTAAACCCTTTCCTCGTCCTATTTATCCTTTATTCGTTTCTTGCGTTCTTCGTTCAAATCCCTCTGCTTGCCTCTCTCTCCCTCTCTCTCTTTTTCTCTTTCTCTCTCTCTCTCTCTCTCTCTCTCTTTCTCTCTCTCTCTCTCTCTCTCTCTCTATTTATCTATTTATTCTACCTATCTATCTATCTTTCTATCTCGCTCGCTCGTTTGTCTCGACGTTCAACCCCCGATGGTGAATCAATAATTAAGGTGACAAAGTGCGGTGATTGCGCGATCGTGTCGGTCCAAGATGTCGGTTAAGGTGAGTCCTCGAGGATCGTTAACACGCGATGAACTCCACGAAACTTCGTTTTTCTCGCAAAATTTTGCTTTTTTCTCAACTACGTCAAGGAACGGACGAGTCGACTCTGTCGAATATGTTGATACAATTATTTTCTTTTTCGACCTTGTATATTACGTGATACTTATTCTAACGTTTAATACATTTTATATATTTTTATTTATTTTGTCTATTATGTTTTTTTTAAGGTTCGCGCGCTTTCATGTTTAACTTCAGTATTACGTCAGCTCGATTGTGCTTTTATGAGTCATCAAGCAAAGATGCATTTTACGAAGAATAAATTTTTCTTTTAGTAACGATAAAAACTTTAGCCCATTATTGTTTTCGGCATAATACTTTCCTCGTATGATTATCCATAAGGTTTTCTTTCCTCTTTCTATTTATATTTTTCTGTCTCTTGATTTTTATTGTTTTATATGGTTCTTTCTTCTGTAAATAATAAAATATTTATGTAACAAATATTAACTCGGTATGTGTATACATATGCTTTTCTCATAGGAATTGAAAATCACGAACATATGTTCGAGAGTATTTGTAGGTACCTACATATGTTGAAAAATCTTTGTTGCTTTCGGATAAGTCTTATACTAAGCTTTTCTTTTATAATAACACTGTGAAGGATAAAGAGAAAATTGTATATACATACATTGATATGGAGATATGGATACTAAAGAAAGTTGTTACAATTTACACTTACATGGAGCGTTTTGCAAAAGCAATTCTCATTAATTAATAATGCATTATATATAATCTCCGTTATTTTTGTGATGCAAAGCATGTAGGAGTATCAAAGGTCCGATTATTTGTGTCCCAATCAAACGAAGACTTTATGTATCGTTTCGTGCCTCGATCACATTAACTCCGACAATCGTATTAAATAATGTCCTACATTGCTATTCAAGTGACTATATAAAGTAGCCACGTTAAACTCATTTTATTGCTGAACGCAAATGGACAAATTTGTAGCACGTCTATTTCTTTAAACAGACAGATATGTCTATGTAAGATCTTTTTTATCTCAAATTTTTTAAATATTTTTATATATGATGACAAACTTTAAATGTGTTAACATATAAACTCAAGAAATATTCGAAACGAAATTAAATTTCTAGCTATTCCATTTTTATTTTAAGAAAAGAATGCTTTATTTATTATCAATTCGTCTATCGAGTTATTCTAAAAGAGCAGATATAAAGTTCATAACTCGAACTTATCGATTAGCGTCATTATTTCAATGTTCCCATTTCCTCTCTCTCTCTCTCTCTCTCTCTTTTTTTTCTTTATTATTCGTAAATTCAACTGATTGTGAATGTAAGAGGAACATATAAAACATATATATAAATATATATATATATATATGCGCATCAGAGAATGAAATATTCTAATGTCATTAACGGGCGCCACAAGTGTCCGTTTCCTGCTTGCTGTGAGATACATATGTATATATATATATATATATATATATATATATATATATATATATATATATATATAGGCTAGTAGGAAGAAAACAGCGGGGGGTTTGTAACGCACATATTAATGCACGGACGCACGCAAGCAATGGAAATACGCGTGCTCTCTTTTGCGGCGCGTGCGCGATTGCGTTGAATCTCGCGCTCGCACGCACGTGAGACGCATGAGTCGCTCGATGCTCGCAGTCGTCGTTTGGACATCGAGCTCGTTGGTTTCCGAATGTTTTCGGTCCTCGACGCGACCAGTTTGTCGATCGTGAACGGGTGAACCGTTTCCGCGGTCACTTAAAAACAAACGGCAGAGTGTGTCGGTAGTAGTCGGTGTTTCGTAAAGACCGTTTGCTACATTCTCGACTGTTATTGATTTTCTTGCAAGATATTTATCACGTACTTTATCTTCGACCCATTCTAGTTTTATAATGATACAAACCAATTTCTAACTAAAAAGTTCTTATCGTATTATAAATTTAATTTAAATGTTTAGGTAATTGTGTATGGTAAAAGGTAATCGTTTTAAATATTTACCGAAAAGCTTTTTAAATAATTATCTTTTTCGAAGATCATAAAATCAAATTCGATTAAAATATAGCTTAGTTCTAAATTGCTTTGAAAACAATAAATAAAGGATTTTTCATTAGCTGTTCTTTTTTATTTTGATTTATATATCATGCAAACTTAAAGTTTCTTTTCGCGAAAACAAATGGAGTCGTTTGTATATATAATGAAATACTTTTCGAAACAGTAGTTTCGTATTTAAATTCAGTCATCAATCGCAGATTCCTTATTGGGGTTAACATTTGTTATAACAAATGATTATTAAAACTAAATAAATAAACTAAAAACAATTTTAAGGGATTGGGAAGGTAAAGGTCAGGCGTTACGGACGATAAGAAGAAATTATAGTTCATATTCATCCAAATATCATTAATTGAATTTTTGGAGGATTTGTTCCTCTAGAAATTGGAGAATTTTACAAAAAATTGAGAGCGATAAAATTTCTCCATGAAATCTTGGATAGACAAACGGACTATATTTTATGTGGAATAATATTTTATATGATTAGAATGTTCATCATTTATCATTATTATTATTATTAGTATTGTTCTTATTATGTTATACATACACATTGTTAATATTATATAAAAAATTTACATAGATTTATTTAGAGAAGTCGAGTAATGTAAAGAATACAAATTTTATCTTCTATTTAGAGATCTCGATAAGAATAATATTTATAGTAAGAACGATAAGATAATCGAAGTAATGCAATTATTTATGCACTACGTTATCCATTAGCATCAATGTTGTTTTTTTATGCCACCAGGACTTGATATTACTTGATATCATTTTTATATGCTATCCATTTTTACGATTATAACGAATCTAGGTATCCATGGACAACGGGCGATAACGAGATCGTGTATCGATCGTATGAACAAGTCTTTGCAAAATTAAACGTTTCGTTGTGCTTCTAGATAACATGTTTAAAATTAAAATTAAAGTTAGGTATTAAGGGGACTGTACTCGACTCGTTTTCTTAGGTAGAAAGATTTTTGAGTAAAAAGTTTTACGAGATTATGAAAATGAAAATAGACAGGGTAAGACGTTAGGTAAGAAGCATTTGTTTAGATCAATGATATGAGAGATTAAAGTACATTTTTACATACTCAAGTACGTAAATATGTATATACATATTCAATTTAGACACGTTACTTTGCTTTTGAGATGTTGCATTTATAGTTTGGTTGTTTTTTCAAATCATATTTGCAACACATGGAATTGTGTCATGGTTCGTTCGTTTGCCTAGTCAACGGTCAGGGATTAATCTCGAGCATATTATTCAACTAAGCACATCACAGAACACTATCACGTTTAATGCAAAATTGGTCTTAGCAATTATTTCTATTCTAGTGACGTCTCTTTTTCTCTATTTTACTACGAACCATCCATTACGAAATCATTTTTGCAACGTTTACTTAACAAAGTGAAATAGATTTCTTGGAAAATCGAACGTATGAAATGTCATAAATCGCAATCTTCCGATATTATAAGCGTACGCACACGTAATATGCATATATGCATATATGCACATAAATATATATTGGTCAATTATTTTCATATGTGCGAAAAGAAGGAATTATTTTTCGAGTGATTTGAATGCATAACTCTTGCGATTATTTGAAACAGCAAGGGCAATATTGTGTGTGTATATATATATATATATATATTATATATATATATATATCTTTTTCACACACACATTATATATATATATATATCTTTTTCACACACACATTATATATATATATATATATCTTTTTATTGGGCGAATAAAACAAAACACAAAAGCAATATAATCGAATAGGTATTCAATCTGAACTTTAACATATTCGGTGATAAACCAAGATATGTAGTATAATATTTTAACAATATTGAAAATTACGACGTGACCCTATCGGATACTTCGAGCTTGTATACGTTACAGCAGATACAGAAGTTTATATTTTTAGACTATGTCTAAATTAGAACAAGTTGCTGTAAATTTGGCGTTTTCGTGAACTGCCAAAATTACGAACGCCGTATGCGATTTTACTATATTATCGATTTCTTCCTTTGATAGTTTTGTTTTTCGAAGAAAATCTGTGTTTTTCGAAGAGCTTACGAACGTTCGTACGAAATTAGAGAAACGTATTTGGAATATGTTTATTTCGATTTGAGTAATAATTTTTGTATAGGAAAACGATTCAATTTTATGTTCCACTTTTTTCTCTTTTTCTTTTGTTTTTGTATATGTGCATGTTTTTTTATTTTGCTACTGTCGTCTCGAATTTACTGTAGCCAAATTTACCAAGCGGAATTAATGAAGAAGTAATTGCAAAACAATTGAATCGTATTTTTCATTTTTTTTCTATTTTTACTTGGCCAAGCGTTACGTTTTGAGTTTGTATTAGTATGGATATCGAGAAATCGTAAAGATATTCGTTCTAGTAATGACCGTCCTATTTTAAGATAGAACTGCAAATTTTGAGCTTATCTTTGTTTACAGGATCTGCGATCGTCATCGACGAAGAAAAACAAAAGCTTTGCAAGAATACTATCGTATTCTTTGTGTAAATAGAGTTTTTCTGTCGGATTTCAAATACTCTTCATTTCATTTTTCTTTTTTTTTCTTGTTTTATTTATACAAACCAGCATTCTTATTTTATATTCAAAGAATGAATAATTAAGGAAATAATTTACGTGGTAATTTAGCGCTATAAATCACATTCTACAAAAGTTACTTTTATACGGTTAGATTGTCGAATATTCATTTCATGTGAGACCGAAAAATATCTGATTACATTGTAGACTTACGTATTAAAATTCTTTTAGATGACGAGGTATAAACAAGCAGAGTTCGAGGACGAGGACAGCAGCAGCATTGGCTCTGTGGCATTAAATAGCGAAGGCATTAGTACTTCAGCTACTCACATTAGGTACTATTCGGTAAGTTTGTTAGAAATAAAAATGATTATTTCAATGATTTTAACTTAATTACATATTGTATAGATAGTACTCGCAAGAATACGATTAAACATTAGATGCTATCGAAGTACATTTTCGATCGATTTCTGATCGATATTTGATTCCTGCAGGAATTTTATCATTCCGATCGTTTTGTTAAATTGAGATGATAAAACTGACAAGGATTTTGCGCTCTACTGCGCTGTTCTACAAATTGCAGCTTAGCATCGAATTGAAAGCGGACATTGAGTAATTTATATGCGGTGAAAATGATGCAATCGCTTTCTATATTCTTCGCTCTATATTTGCCGGTTTCATCGTAGACGCGAGACTGAAGAAGAATATTTCCTTCTTCGATTTTATTTCTGTTTCTTTATTTCATTATACTAGATGTTAGATAAAAATAAAGGTCAAGCAAGCAAATTCGTAAGATCGTTTTTCGAATTATTATCAGACTCGATCATTACTGACTATACTTCCCTTATCTTGTTACTTAATTACTTGTATATCGGTATATAGGGTACAACGTTATGGAGAGCAAGGAATACTTTAGAGAAATGTCTTTTTATAATATGTGCTTGTTTGCTATTGATGGTAACGGTACTGTCGATAGTAATCAGCGGTAAAAGCAGTTGGAACAAAGGACAATACGTACACGTCGGGGTTCACAGCGAAAGTAAGATATTACTATTACTATTATTATCATTATTATTATTATTATAAAATGTTTAGCATGCGAAAAAAAATATGTATTTTCTTTTTCTTTGAAAAAATCAATCTCTTTTTATCAAATAAACGTGATCTAATGTGAAGTAGATAAGAAATTTATTATATATCGATAAGTTTATAATACTTTAAAACGATAAATCCTAATTGATTTATACATGATAGATGCTAGTTACTGTCTCACGGAACATTGCGTGACGGTGGCAGCGACGATTATAAACAGTATAGATCATTCCGTGAAGCCATGCGATGATTTTTACGAGTATGCCTGTGGAGGTTGGATAAAAAAAAATCCTATGCCAGATGGAAAGAGCACATGGGGAATATTCGCAAATATGGAGCAGCAAAATCAACTCGCGATTAAAAACGTACTCGGTAATATAATTTCAACGATAATATTAATATTATCGATTATTCGCGATCGAATGAAATGTGTAAACATTCATTCCTTTAGAGAAGCCTTTTAGTGAAATGAAATCTAAAGCAGAGAAAAAAGCAAAGAATTATTATATGTCGTGTATGGACGCTAATGAGACCGTCGAGGCGTTGGGAGCTCAACCTTTGCTCGATCTTTTGGATACTATTGGCGGTTGGAATATATCCGGTAACTTTAGCATCGATCGTTGGTCTCTACAAAATAGTATGCATATATTGCAAAATGTTTATAACATGGGCGGATTGTTCTCTTGGGCGGTAAATGAGGACGATCGTAACAGTACCAGATACATAATTCAGGTTGTATTAGATAAGACAATTAATGAGAAACATTTATTTTCATGATTGTATCATTGCTAATAATGTTTCTTTCCTTTTTTCTTCTCTTTCTAAAGATCGATCAAGGCGGGCTCACTTTACCAACGGCAGATAATTACCTGAACGTGACCGAGCATGGTAAAGTATTGACGGCTTACTTGGAGTACATGACTAAGGTATGTAACCGCGTTTTTGTAGGTACAAAAATAGGCGCCTTGACCGAATTGAGTAAAAACATTCGTTCGCAGATAGGCGTGTTACTTGGAGGAGAGGAGAATTCAACGAGGCGACAGATGCAGGACGTGATAGCTTTCGAGACAAGATTGGCGAACATTACGACGCCTCAAGAGGAACGTCGGGATGAGGAGAAGCTCTATCATTTAATGTCTTTGAGCGAATTACAACGCAAGGCGAACTTTGTGAGTACGATTACTACTAGCCTGATAACATCGAAATAGATAGAGCATCGAAACTTAAAGGCCAATGTATCTATTATGTCAGATGTCATGGGTGGACTTCTTCCAAAACGCAACGCGTATAGTTAATAAGAAGATAAACAGTAAGGTGATGATCGTTAATTTTGCTCCTGATTTTTTCGCTAAGTTGACGAACCTGGTACAGGAATATAACAAGACGAACGAAAAGAAAATGTACGTATCTTTATACTTTTATTCGTAAACGTTATTTCATATCTTAATTGTTTGTATGACCGTTTAGAAAAATAATTCAAAGTAAAATATGTTATTCAAATAGACGATAAGCAAAAGCTTCATTGAACGTTATTAGAGAAAAGAGGAACCCAAATCGATACGCTTCTTTTTGTATTGCCATCCTTCTCTATTTTTTTTCCGCAGAATACTGAATAACTATCTGGTTTGGCAGACCGTGAGGTCCCTGACGGTGTTTCTTTCGAAGCCATTTCGCGATGCTTACAAAGTCTTGAGGAAGGCTCTTGTTGGCTCGGAAGGGAGGGAAGAGCAATGGCGCTATTGTGTTACTGATACAAATACTCAGATGGGATTCGCTGTTGGTGCTATGTTCGTCAGGGAAGTGTTTCATGGGAAAAGCAAACCTATGGTTCGTTTTGGTCAAATACGGTCAAATATTTTCAGAATTTATGTATTTTCATTTATATTATATAATTAATTATTATATTTTCTATCATATAATTAATTTTGCTATTATTAATTCTTAAATAAATCGGTACGTCAATTGTATAAGATAACTTTCAAAAATCACGATAAAAATTATTTGACAATCGTAGAAATTAATAAACGATTTCAATAATCGATTTTAGGCAGAACAAATGATCGATGAGATACGTCGAGCCTTTACGAAGAATTTGAAGAATCTTGAATGGATGGACGCTGATACAAGGATGGCGGCAGAGCAAAAGGCTAACGCGATCACCGATATGATCGGTTTTCCAGATTTCATTCTGAATCCTAGCGATCTCGATGAGCGATATAGAGATCTTTTGATTAAGCCAAATGAATACTTCCAAAATAATATAAGGGTGAGCAAATACACTTTAAAGAAAGCTCTTGAGAAACTTGATCAACCGGTAAACAAGTCCGCTTGGATCATGTCGCCATCAATGGTGAATGCTTATTACACGCCAACGAAAAATCAAATCGTATTTCCCGCTGGAATCCTTCAGAGTCCTTTCTATGATATGCAAAATTTTGATAGTCTTAATTATGGTGGCATTGGCGTTGTTATGGGTCACGAACTCACTCATGCTTTCGACGATCAAGGTGAAAATTTGATAAATTATTCATTTTAATTGATTATATTAATTATAGATTAAAGTGAGATCATTCAATTAATAGTTAACAAAAAAGAAAATAAAATACAATTACGAAAGTATTCCTTTATATTATTTTATAAATAATATTAAATTCAACATCGTAGGTAGGGAATACGATTTGCATGGAAATTTGAATAGATGGTGGAACAACGATACGATAGATAGATTCAATAATAGAACGGAATGCTTTGTGGAGCAGTACAATACGTATGAGGTACAAGGTCGTCACGTGAATGGACGTCAAACTTTAGGTAATATTTAATACTTATACTGTTTTTACAAAACGTAAAACGTTTTTCTGCTATTCCTATGATTTTTTCTGTTCTATTTTTAGGAGAGAATATCGCCGATAACGGTGGACTCAAAGCAGCGTACCATGCTTATTTAGCAACACTTAAAACCGAGAAGGACCAATTGCCGTTTCCTGGTCTTAACCTAACGCATCGTCAATTGTTTTTCGTTAATTTTGCCCAGGTACGAAGCGTATCTATAATATAATCGAGCGATTTTTACTTTTATTTTTATATACACTCTATATACGTGAGCATATACTTTGAATAGTTTCCACCATCCGGCCGCTAAATGGCGTTTAAATTACATTTATGATCACACACACATACACTATATATATATGTTTATATTATATGCAGAGTATTCCGAAAATATTGGTACAACCGAGCAAAGAGTATTTCCTCGTGAAAAAATAAGTAGAAAATGTAAAGTATAGTTATTACATATGAGGTTCCGTTTTTAAGAAAAAGAAGTTTAAAAATCTCTTAAATACATTTGTATTTACCGTAAATTTCGACTTGATCATTCGAAACAAATACAACAGTACGATAGTAGCCACAAGAGGAAACAATAATAATATTACATGTGTTGTTAAACACAAACACGAATAAAAGCAGATCTATCAAATCGAAACTTACAGCAAATTCAAATTTTAAAAGTGGTTTTTCCTCGAAAACGGAGCTTCATACGCAAAAATTGTATTCTACGTTCGTGACTTATTTCTTTACGAGGAATCACTTCCTGGTTAATTATACTACTACTGTTGGAATATACTGTATATATATGTACGTAAATTATATTTTCGACTATTGTACTTATAGTGTTTTTAATCTACACAGATATTGAATTATAATCTTATCGATAGGTGTGGTGTTCTGCTGAAACTTCTGAATTGACAGCTCTCCAAATTGAAAAGGATTCTCACTGTCCACCGAAATATAGAGTAATAGGACCTCTGACAAATATGGTTGAGTTCTCAACGGAATTCGATTGTCCAATAGGTTCGAGAATGAATCCGGAGGAGAAATGCGAAGTTTGGTAACGTGCCGGAATTAGGAGCGATTCAATGTCGATCTCGTTCGATGGAATCTTTCTTGTTGTATGTAACGCTGTGTGATCGTCGAACTTCCTTTTAGAAAAATATCTTGAATGTCAATCGACGAAAGATTCGTCTCAACGCGGATTTGATGAAATGAGCTTCTATGTATCATCATCAGGATCATCGATAATATTCGTTCTCTTTTTTTGCAAAATTTTTCAATGAGGAAGTTACGACCGGTCTCGTAAGAAACATTTAAAATTACGGAAAATCTTGTAATTTTGGTATATATATGTACGTCGGTACAAATCGAATAACGAATGCTCCGTTTATATGGTTGACGATAATAATCTGTATCTAAAGATGATTACTACTACTTCCATGCGAATTAAATTCGTCCAATGGTATTCCGATCCTTTTGAATCGTTGATTGGCTGTGAGCGGATTGGACGATCGAATGCCTAAAATTCCTTAGTCGAAAATCGACGAACTATTATAATAACGATAGCTTCTGTCTGAGAAGTGTCTTGCAATTCAACGATTCGAACGTATCGAGTAGTATTCACATAATGTTGGTTCTACGAGAATTTGGCTATGATTCGAGATAATAGAATGGTTTTGAACTTAGAGAATCGATATGAAAGTTGGCTAAGGACCATTTTAATGAATTATTAGCGCTTCTTAGTCAGGTTATGTTTGAGAGTTACGTTATAAGCTCGAGTATTTCTCAAACTTTTTACTTTTTAGTGTATTTTCGTCCACGGTTCATCGAGATAAAATCGATCCAAGAAAATTTTTTAAACGACGACAGATCCTTTTTCACTTTTATACTCGAAATGATTCTCGGTGCATTAGAACACGCGAAAAATGGACTTCTTCGATTCTACTGCTTTATGAGTGAAACGACTTTTAACGTTCATAAAAAATAAAATATGTGTATATATACTACTATCGCGTATACTAGTTCTGTGATTCTCCTTCGCGTTTACAATTACCTAATTTTCGTATATCACGTACGTTCTATTTTTTATTTTATTTTTCTCTTATTTTACTTGCTGTTATAAAGATTGGTCAATTTTTCTCGAGATATATTCGCTCTTGATCGGACCCAGCGATCGATGTTGTCGATGGACCGAGGAAGAGACATATCATTACGGTGCCATAATTTCTGCAGGTAGGATCTAGTGTTGTATTTAAGAAACTTATTTTATGTATAAAGCTAAGAATACTTATATCTAATATAAAGTATAAACGAGGTTAGGCAATTTGGTGATGTTGGAAAAATTTGGAAGCTCACATCTTCGTAAAAGGTAAAAATAAGAAAATATTTTTGATTGTATTATTCGAGCATTTTCATTATAGAGGTATATCTCAATAATACATACATACGGTGTTTGAACGAATCAAATACACGATTTTTTCATGTATAAAATATGAACGATTGCAAAAATAACGAAATGGTACGTTTATCAATGATAGCGTATCTTTTCTTCGCAACAAAAAATTGATTCGATCTCTACATACAAGAGAAGATTATTTTATCAATTCGAAGTAAGCCATGAGAAAATCGTTGTTTGTCAATAATTGTTTTATTGCTACACATTAATTAACAGGTAGAATGCATCACAAGGAAAAGAAGTAATGAATATTCATGCAATCGATCAATTTTTACATAGATTTATTCCAAATAAATAGTTCCTTTATTGTTATTTTCTTCAAATAATTTTTTTCGCGATCAGAGGAAATAAAATATATAACGTACAGAAGTTATTCGAGAAATAAATTATTTTATATCGCGAGAGCTTAGAATTATCGGTAAGTAGATCGAACAGTGAGAAAGAGAGAGAGAGAGAGAGAGAATTGAGAAGACAGTATTAATACAGTACCTAATGATAAATCCATAGGCGATAGGTGGTGTTTATAATGAAACAGCAATAATCGATTACGTGGGAGCCAAAATGAACAAATGATAACTATAAATAGTAAAAATCAAATAGTGTGGTGATACTTCTCGGCTTGTCCACGATTATCGGTTGTTGCATATTTGGTACGATGGTTGATGCATTGCTGGATGAAGGATGATAGTTACTAAATAGCGATATTATTCTATTTGTGCAGCGATGATTACTTATCTGACGTTCAGAGTAAATTATATGTATGACTAGCGGCGTAACTTACAGATACGTTAACAGGATATCGAGGATATTTTTATGCTTAATTAATTATATCGTTGATTCTAGTCGGTAAAAAAGGTCACTAAAAATTATATATATATACATATACATATATATATATATATACACAAGTACACAGACACACATATACATATAAATACTTACTTTCAGCCGTATTTGTACATTGCCATACAAGTTTTAAAGAAGAAATAAAAATATTAAATTGTGTGTAATTTTGTTCGAAGTACATACATAATGAAAATCACGCCATGATAGAAAGAAAGAATATGATGAAATAATCGGTAATGTAGAGCATTTGTTATCGACATTATTCTTTACCGATTAAAAGAGGGCTCTTTTAAAAACAGATGTAAACTTTAATTAGTAAAATATGTTCCTAAAATATTATACTTATGTTTTTATTAATTTTCCTACAAATACATACGTGCGCGCGCGTATGCTCGCGTACTTGTACACATTTACACATGTGGGTGTGTATATAGGTATATCTATTAGAAAATTTTTTTTGTTTTTTCATTAAATTTAAAAGATATTGAAACGTATAATTGCCGAGAAAAAATTTCATAAAAACTAGGGAATGTTACCTACTAATAAATTACGTTTTCTTTATCGACTAACATTGTATCGATATAGAAGAAAATGCGAGGTAAAATAAGCATCAATAATACGAAAATATTCTACAACTCATTTTCCATGAAAAAGAAATTTTTCTTTTCGTGATAAAAACTCGTGATGTTCGATCATGTCGATAAAAGATGGAATATCAAGGGATTGCAATTTTTCGATTAGTAACGTATAAAGTTTTTTCTTGCGGCAATATTTGCTGTCTGTAAAAAATATTTTCAAGAACGCATATCAGCACACTAAATAAAGCAGCGATTGAGAGCATTGAAAATACGATATGTATATGACCATATTCGACAGCACGAAAATCAGTCCATTGAGGCTGTATTAAAATGTTCTGTTCTTTTTTTATCCATTTTTTTTCAAGGTAATCTAATATACCGACCGAACGGAGTCGCATCAAGCTGCAACAAAGATACGTATAAATTGAAATTCTAATTTTATTTTACTTTCTATTTTGCTCTCAAATATAACTTGTAATGATATAATTAATCAATATTAAATTTACATTAAGTTTTATAAATGTAGAAAGAAAAAAAAAATAGAAAGAGTATGGTAAAGGAGAGCAAATATAAATGAGATAACTCACTATAGATCGATGATCTTTCTATATTTCGAGGACCTGGCATGTTGAAAAGCTAATTTCAAGATCCAATATGGTTGAGGTAATTGCACGTAGTGACATTGGTTTAATACTTGTTGATAAATCGATAGAAAAATGTCTGGCCCTTCTAAATAAACAAAACCAGGGGTACAAAGATTTGAGCCGATAGTAAGCATATTCATGGTATCAGGACAATCCTTATTCACTAGATCCTTCCATTCCGGCATTAAATCCTCTTCTCTTAATCCGTTCTGCAATGTAAGTGGAATATATTTTATTATAGCTTCTTATTTTTATGATCATGCAAGTTTATCGCTAATTTAATATATGTGTGTGTTGTGTGCGTATATATATATATATGTACACGTACCACTGTGAAGTGAATGTATGCACCGCTATTGTTTCTCACACATAAAGAATGAGTACGTTTTTCGGCAACATCTTTTAAACTAGTAAGAGGTACTGACGTTATCCCGATTGTTAAATACGAAGTTAGGGTACTACTAAACCCACAAAATAGTGACATTCCCATAAACAAAAATGAGAGGATCGTCAAACGTAACGACCAGCTCAACGGAATTTTCTGGCAACCTATTTTTTATTAGAACAAAGAAAACAAATGTGTCAGAAAAATGTCTTGACAAAATATTAATTTTTAAAATAATATATAAAATGTTGTATGATATATGATAAGTACCTTGACCACTTATGCCACTTAAAACGTAAAGGAAGACGAATGAAAGAGACGAGAATTCGTCGTCGCATTCGATGTCAAATTTACAGATTGTTTTTCTTAATGCATTAATTCCCATAATGATGAATACGATACAAACAATAAATAATCCCGTTACTCTCCATAGATTTCGACTGAAAATACTAGCATACCACCACGTTGAAACTCTCGTACCTTCGGATTGCACGAATAAAGCATAACTGTGGATAATCATACTTATTAAGGATTTCAAATTTCTTTTCGCGATATATATATATTATCGAATCAGAAAAATAGTTATTGATGATAAAATGAATAATATTATTAAATAATATTATTCGCTTGAATAATATTTATTTTGTTTCTGTTTCTTTTTTGTTTCTTTTTTGAAGAATAAAAGAACATATATGTTACTTACGTATTTTTTAATTTCGACTTACTAGTTGGTCGTGATCGGAACACTGTAAGTGTAATAACCGGAGGTGTAGGAGTAAATCACCGTAGCTTCCAAGAGTGCGTGAGCTCGACCATTCGTCAGCGTCCAGCCGGCCGACGATCCCGCTCTACGGTAAATCGTCCTGTATTTTCGACGAAGAAACGCTTTTATTACGGTGTGAGCGCACCCAACGGTGTGAGCGGCTCTTTCTCTCTTTCCGTTTTTCGCGAAGCGTGATACTATACTTATACCTGTCTAGACGAATGAATCATGCGAGTATTTTGACCCACCACTGCGCGTCTGGGTGGTACGCGGAAAATTAGGCAGATTCTACGTACGGATAGGTTGTCGTGTCAGTTTGACCCTCTCACTCTCTCGGCATGCAAATGAATGAAATCGACAAGGAGAGTAACAGGTAAAAACGTGAAAGGCGTGACCAGACGGACGTGGATTTTCTATGAGATTACGTGCCGACAATGATAACAACGAGATCTTTGTCTTGCATAGGTAAAGAAAAATGGGCATAAAACGAAGTAAGGTTACCTACGATATGAAAATAATCGATAGGAATAATATGATTTTAATCGATTCGGACTAATAGGAAAACAAAAAGAAAACTATCTTGTTTTCCTCCTCACCGACCAATTTAATACCGAATTCGTAATGAAGGGGTTTATATACGAACGTGAATTTTAAGGTTTCTTCCAAAGTCATCCAGACGTCCCCTATGAATCCTGTTACTTGGCTCTGATTTGCATTTATTATGATGTACGGATTCATCTGAAAATGAGAAGGATAGTCCATAAATAATTTCCTTTACCATTTTCATTTGATTAATTCGAGAAATTGTTTTCTCAAATAGCTCACATTATCGGCAACCACCGTGATTGATTTCATGGCCAAGTCCTTGACGAAATCGACGCTACACACGAGTCCGTTGTTCGATTTCAATGCTTCCAATGGAACAAAGTTTTCTGCGATCGAATCCCATCTCCAAATCCGACCTGGACTTTTCTGCAAGATTCTGCTCTCTTCTTTATTCTTTAAAAGGCGTAGACAGATTTCTGCTTGAATCATGAGAAACAATGCCTGAAATGGTTCGGCGAAACGAATTGTTCGAATAACTGTCATTGTCTAATAGCGTAAATTTTTAAGAGCAAGGATATTACCCACCGCGAAACAAACGAAATTTCTCATGGTAGTTCGAGTTCGAATGCTCTAACTTCGAATGACATCGGGCACCTTCGTTACTAACCTGTTCCGTTCTCCGAAGTGAATTTAATTTTTAATCATCGACTATGCGCACATTCTACTGCCTTAATGAGAACAATAATTGACAGATTTGCCTGTAGTATATTAGAGGTGACAAGAACTGTTGTACTTTCCAATTACTTATTCACGCATAAGGGCAGGTAAGATGAATCGAGTTTTTCAACGGAGTTTATCGAAAAGATTTGCGATGAATATTTAAACGATCGGTCAATTAATTTTTATTAGATTTCAATTCTTTTGTATGACTCGTTATATTAAATTTCATATTTTCAGTTAATTTAGAGGAAAAATTTCTCAACGAATACTCTTAAGTGAACGAATAAAAAAGTCAAAGTAGATTCGTAGTAAACTAAGCGTAAAGAGATAATAACGCTGAACTTGCCCCTCTTTCGCGCTTATTTTAAGCGAAGTCTTTTCTCGTATATACAATTATAAGAAACGATAAGGAAAGGAATAACGCATCGTCGACGTATATTTTATTTCCGATAATCGAGTTGTTGCAAACGATTTATGCGCAACACGTTTTTTTCATTCTCTAATATTGAGGTTACTGTGTTACAGAGGAACAACTTTGATTAAAAATTGCAAATTGAAAAAGTTATTTAAACATTTATTAGTTGTGACAGCAGTTAAAGATGTTACCATCGTAAGTTTAAGGATTGTTTGTATTTGTGATTATAATGTAGTGGACTAACTACAGTTACGGAAAAGGCGAAGAAGGAATTCGAATTTGTTGATTGATGATTTGAGTTTTTCCTGAAAATTTTAACTTTTCCAATAATATCCTGTTTATTTCCAGTTGCAAGAAAGTATCATTGCGAATGTCAGGGCCGTCGGACCGGTCACTCGTTTGTAAGAGTTTCGTCAGAAATAAGCATATACGATCTATATATGTAAACGCGTATACAACATAGAAGTACATAAGAGACCTATATACTTTGTTTCTTCCATTTTGTTGCAAGTATCCGAGATCATGACGAATCGCACAATACGCATGTCATATAAAAGTGTACGTGACGATACTTATCCATTTTTGTAATTATATCACCTCGAGCGCTCTCCTTCCGTATACTTCCTTCCGTATATTTCAACTTCGTACGTTTGTTTGTAAAATTTTTGCATAGTTTACATCAACTCTTACATAGTTACATAAATATATACATCTGTAATCATTAATGGCGTTAGCAAGGCTACTCTTTCGTATAGTTTTCCTTTTCATAAATCATACGTAAATCCTATTTATTTTTATAGCGAAGTATTATTATGCGATAGTACTAGGTGCGTTCAAGTTCTACAGTCTTCTCATTTCTTTCCGAAGAATTACTTACATCAGAAAGCTTAAATTATTGTCGTTTTCCTACATAGTCATTCTGTACACGTACGTACTGTTCACAAAGTCAATGCCATGATTGCATGACCTGGCTGTGAACGATTCTTTAGGAGGTTTATTTTGCCCATTGGAAAATCACTGATGCAAGAACGGCACGATTGAAAACAGAGAGATCACGGAAAGTGTCCTTCGACGTTGGAAAAAGCCCAAAATCGCTAGGTGCAAAGTCCAGGTAAGTAGGAAGCATAAAGAATCACTTCGAAGTTGTTTGTCGTGAAGAATTTATGTAGACTGTGGTCGATCAATTTCCAGTCGTGCCGCTCTTGTACTAGCGATTTTTCAGAGGGCAAAACAGACTCCTAAAGAATTGTTCACAGCATCCGTAGAATCATGGCGTCGACGTTGTGAAAAATGTATACGTGTATAGGATAACTAAGTTGAAAAATAACAGTAGTTTCAGCTTTTTAGTGTAAGTAGCTTTTCAGAAAAAAAATTAGATGATCTTAGAACTTGAATGCATCTCTGTAACGTTTATATGTAGTGAAGATGTGATAAACCAATATTTATTTAGAAGCAAGTAAACACCTGATGATAATCAATTTTTTCGTCACTATTGTTATTTGTAAATAACGAAAATCGACAATAATTTGTGTTAAAGATAACTTTCAATTCAAAACTTAAATTAGGTGGATATTAAATGTTTATTACGTGGAATTATCATAGAATAATGAACAATTAATTGAGGGAAAGCTTTTAATTCATATACCGCTTTTACATATGCTCGTTATTCACAAATAACCTTAGCGACGTGAAAACATCGTCATCAGCTTTTTGTTTACTTCTAGATACATATCATTGACTCGTCACATCTTAATTATATACAAACATATTGATATGTTTCGCTATAGAATAAGTGCGGAGAGATAACGTAAGATACAGAAAGAAAAATTCGTCTGCATTAAAGAGGGAATTACAGTTATGATAAATTAAGAGATTACATATACCTAAACGGTCCCAAAAAAGGCAATTTTTATGGTTTCTTTTTATGTATATAATTTATTTTTTTTAATAAAAGAACATAAAATAATGCGTACTTGGAGGAATATTTTTCAACAAAAAAATGAAATTTATCTGTAATTTCCTTATCGATGTCGAACGAAGCAGTGTTATTTTCTACGGCATGCCACATACGATGCCAATAATATCTCCTCAGAATATTATCAAAAATGTAAAAAATCAAAGAATCTTGAAGTACATTAAAAAACTAGTTCTTTACGGAGCCGATTTTTATTATTCTCATTTTATAAACGAATATGAGTGATTGAATTTATCATGCAATTTCTGATAAAAAATTTCAGTAGCTTCTTGATAATTAAAAAAATACTAGGATTCTTAAAAAATTTTCCATATAATAAAAATTATATAATAATATAAGAAATAATCAAGTCAAATTTCATTTAAATTGGTTCAGTAGTTTTCAACATGACACTAATATCGATTCGAAAAACATAATTTCGAGAAAACAGCGTTTAAAGTTTAAGATATATACAAAGTTGAACTCTGTAGGATCGATTTTTAATCAGCTGTAACTTTATTAATTTTTGGAATTTTCTGGTGAAATTTTCCAAAAATATTCTTAAAAGATAATATTGTCGAAAAAAAATATCTTTGAAAAATCAATCTTTTTTGAACTTTGTCGATGTATATAATCTCTGAAGATCACAGCCGTACCTATTATTTTCTTGTCATCGAAATTTTCTCGATTTCTTCCTTTTTCTTTCCTTCCATTTTCAAATACGATTTAATCTTTCCGATCATCTTTGCGATCATTTTCCGTCGACTTGACTAGATGAAACTGCTTGTCATTATCTTTTATATGATTTTGTTATTATCTTTTTTTATTTGTTTAAATATATTACACTCTTTCGTGCAATTTACTGTCACTAATTAATTTTTTTCTTTAGAACAGCACCGATTTATGAAATAATCGGATCGCATGATGTCGAAAAGTCAATGATAAAAAATCAAAGCTTTGTTTCTGAGAGTTTCGTCGATCAGACAGGATTAAGATATTTCCTCAAATTCAATAAAATTCTCATGGCTTGTGATCGGTTTGTTTTAAAAGGAGAGAAGACGATGACGAAGAAAAAGAGATGAGGGAAAGAAAGGGAAGGCCGGGGAAAAATGCCACCACAGCGTGAAAAGGCCAGCAATGGTAGCTTGTTAGTGCGATACGACACCATAAAAAAAAAGGACGAAAAGATTGAAAGTCCTTTTCTGGAGCCACCTGCTGTTACGACTGCAAAAGCAACTGTAAGCGTGGTTGCCACTCGATTGGTCCTCATGATGACAGACGGGTGCAACGTGTGGGGCAATCAGGGGGAACATGGGAAGAATCGAGGATGGCTTCACGCATTCCCATGCCCTGATTCTCCGATTTCTACCTTCCTTGTAATCGTTTTTTTTTTTATTCCGTAAACTTACACTTCTGTCAAAACAAATTACGATAAGTATTAGTTAATAATTACATAGAATATTAATGGATTATTAAATGCCTTTCTTTTTATTCTTTTCTTCTTTTTTTTTCGTAAATTTTTCTTATTGACAATCGGCTTCTATTGATTGATAATGTTAGTTAAAATAGGTTTTAATTATATACCTTATTAGATTAGAATATATTCAAAGGTATCTTCTATTTTCTATATTAAAAATAAAACAAAAGAAAGAAAAAATAACCGATCGAAGAACCAAAGAATATATGGGCCATTTAGATTCTGCAGACCACCGATGCGACGACTTTTTCCAAGAAACCATAAAATCACTTAATCTTCGAGTATCAAAGTTATGGATGGTTATAAACGGTTTCGTGACCACGAATCCAAGATACTGTTACAGAAGATGAAGGGGAGAAAAGAGGAGAGAATGAGAATCTCATCGATCGAGCAGTCATTAATTTTTATTAAACGATATAATAAGCATTATTATGGGCAGTATAACGAGTGCAGGGATTGTACGATAGCGATCACAATCACAAATAAGCGTACCTATATGTTTATTCTGCAACATTTTAGGTAACATCGATTATTACCCATATGTTTATTTTAGAACATTTTAGGTAACATCGATTTTAACAAACGTTAGGAGAACGTTCCTAAAGTTATCTTATTATATAGAAAATTACAACAACGAAGAAAGATAGGAGTAAACAAAAAAATGAACAAAAGTCGCTAAACTGATTATGCTAGAAAAATAAGGGAGCGAAAACTAGTGAAGAACAAAGATAGAAGAAAAAAGGAGAAAAAAGATCGAAAATGCAAATGAACGGGTTCGGTTTCAGGTTTCTGTACGTATCGCATTCGTGCATCTTCGCTCGCTTAACTCCATCGAGATTTCTTCCCTAAAGAATATGCAGCATACCCTTGCAAAAGAAGGAAAGAATCGGCGATTTCGTTGTTTAGAATATAATATATGTCGGCTGGTGTGCATCTTTCAGGGAACGCGGACCAATGCGCGAGATTTGAATCGCTTTGAAAGTCGATTTGGCTTTCAAACGTCACGAGAAGAAGTCGATGGCCTATCTCGGTCTTTCGGTCTTCGTTCCTTTTTTGTTTTTTTTCTTCTCTATCTCTTTCTTTCTGACATGCGTAGTCCTATCTGGCCGATCGGCGGGACGACGGCTTTGAGCGTGCCCTCGATTCCGTGAGCCATAAAAATTCGATCGAAATTCTCCTGGGGACTCTCGAGAGATCGTGCATCAAATTGCACGCGCATCAGACGGTGCACGTGTGCCGTCGAGCAAGCCGATGTCGTCGAATTTCAAATTTCTCATTTTCTTTTCGTTTTTTCTCCTCTTGTCTCTTTGTTACTTTCTTTTTTTAAACGCGTCACGTAGAAGTAGCTCGATCATTTTGTAAAGCCGTGTGAATTCCATTTCGGCGTAGAGGTAGGTACATAATATATATATATATATACATATATATATATGTATATATATACATATATATCTCCGTCTCTCCGTCGAAATAGATATGTATATATATACCTATATATTGTATGTATGTATATATACGCAGGATATACAGATAATCCGAAGAAAAAGAATAACTCCTCTCGGGTTACTTATTATTTTTTATTTCTTTCTTCAAGATCTCGGCCAAAAAGATTTTTAGAGAGAAAGTCTTTTCTTAGAGAATAAAGGATGCACAAAGTTTGTTAAGAGAATACCAAGAATAAGTCGAAGAAAATAAATAAGATGAAGAAGTAACAGCGAAGAGATTCGTTGTCAGCAACGGGCGTTCTATGCACATGGTAGTGATTGTCGGTCGATCGGTCGTCGATCGATTGTCGATCGGCGACGATGTTCTTGCTTGTAGAAAAGAGATTCAAACTCGACAGAGAGAGAAAGAAAGAGAAAGAGAAAGAGAGAGAAAGAGAAAGAGAAAGAGAGAGAGATAGAGAGAGAGAGAGAGAGAGAGAGAGATAAAGAGAAAGAGCATTCTTTAACCGGCAACGATGATCGCTACGAAGGATCGCAGAGCGTGGTGGGAGGGCCGAAGGAGGTGACGGGCTGGAGGGTGCAAAAAGAGGTGATGGTGATGGTAAAGAGGAAGGGGTGGAAGAGTGGGGGGCAACGAGCCATAGGCGTCAGTCGCGCCGACAGCGGCGGCGACGGGCAGACGCACGGCCCCGCTACACGCGAATGCGTAAGATACTACGCTCGCGCGTCAAAGAGGGAGAAAAAGAAAAGGGAGGGAGAGAAAGAGAGAGAGAGAGAGAAGGAGAGGGGGAGTAAGGCGCCGGGAGAGAAAACGGGAGCGCGTTATATAGGGGAGGCGAAGGAGGAAGAGGAGAAGGAAGTGGTGGAGGAGGCAGAGGGAGAGAGTAGAAGGAGAGGACGATGGAGAAAGAAAGAAGAAGAAAGAGAGGAGGAGGCCACCACCTCGACATATATGCGGTGAAACCGCGCGCCTCCTGACTCAGTGCTTGACAGGCTAGCAAGCTTTAAGGATCTGTGGGTATCGCGCCTACCGACAATCCTGAACCCCTCCCCCACCCTATCGACTCGATCTTTTTCACGCGTGATACTTTTGCTCTTGTTTTACTTCTTCTTCTTCTTCTCTCTCTCTCTCTCTCTCTCTCTCTCTCTCTTTTCTCGCTCTATTCATCTCGATCTCTTTCTTTTTTTCTTTTGCTATCCCAGAGAAGAGAAACAGATAGACACCACGAGGAGATCAGCGTCTTTCACTCTGTTACCTCAGAAGAGGGTACATTACTCTTGTCTCTGGAGAACCATCTCGAGTCTGACGTAATGTATGAAAAGAAAGATCTAAGGAGGAAGAACCGAAGAAAGAATTACGGTCGCTAAAATTGCCAAGGTCGAGCTTGCCGGTGTGTCTTTGCGAGTGGAACTGGAGAAAGAGGAGGAGGAAGAAGAAGAAGAAGAAATAGCAGCGACGGTCGTTCGAAAGGGGGGCAATGTTCATCGGGAGGATGCATGTCGTCATAGGAAAGCAGGCCAAGGTGGTGTATCGGTGAAGAAGCTCCGTTTCGACTTCGAGTACGCGCGCGATATTCTTCGAGATGACGATGATGAGGAGACCGGGCCGGAACTGAAGGTTACGAGGGTGCAGCGGGACCGCTCGTCGCACTCTTCGTCTCTTTCTCCTCCCACCCTCTCTCAATATTTCTCTCTCTCTCTCCTCTCTATCTCTCACTCTCCCTCTCCCTTTCTCTCTCTCTCTCTATCTCTCACTCTCTCTCTTTTTCGATTCTCTTTCATATTTTCTATCCTTTTGTTTCCTAGTCAGTCAAAGTTTCTTTTATCAGACAGTGTGTCGTATCTATTTGTTTTCAACCCCTACTACCATGCGTACATTATTTCGTTTTCGCGATGTGATGAGAAAAAGTCTACCGACCGATTAAAAGTGTGCCTTAAAAGCGAGAACCAATTGATCCTATCCCGTCGTTGTCATCTTCTCGTGAATTAGTCGCGAGTGCCAAAAAAGGCCAACTTTTCTATGTAATTGACCGGTAAAACGGGCACCGATTGAAACCGCGAAGACGTAGGGAAGAAAGCGAAGCTGGATCGCGTAGATCGCGATCGTGCTACGACGGGCTGGCGATCGCATATTCCGTCCGGTATAATATCACCGACGGCTAAACACGCCAAACGGAAGTTTCTCGAAGTGAAAAACGTGAAACGGAGGTCACACATAGTTGGTAAGAAGAAGCTGGTGCTTTGCGATAAAGGAGGAGGTGGTGGTAGTGGTGGTGGTGGAGGAGCAAGAGGAGACGGCAAAGGCAGAGGAGGAGGAGGAAGTGGTGGTTGCGGAGAAGAGGAAGGTGGAGAAGAAAGTGGTGGAGAAAGAAGAGGACGGCGACCAGCCGGAAGAAAGGAAGAAGAGGCAGAAGGTGGGGGAGGAAGAAAAGGAAAAGGAAAACTCGAGGAGGGTGGAGTTTCCTCTTTCGAGGTGAGAATACGGAAGCGGAAAAAGCGCTGAGAGTAGAATAGAAAAGAAAGGAGTGAGAAAAGAAGAAGAAGAAAAAAAAGGAGGATGACGTTGTCGTTGCGGGCCATCTGATCGTCAGATCGCGCCTAAGACGGAAGCCCGCGATCGACGCTTCCTCGTTGTGAGGAGCGTGACCTTGGGAGCAAAATGGTCACGAGAACGCTCCTGATACTCTCGTTGCTCCTCCTCGGTGCCTTCGACGCGCCTGGCATCGAGAGAGCTCGCGTCGGATATTTCGTGATGGCCGGCAATGCTTGTAACGCCTGTAGGATGCACGAGAAGATCAGGGCTCTCAGTCTTGAAGCTATCAAAGAACAGATACTCAATAAGCTCGGATTGAAACAGGCACCTAATATGACTGGCAGGGCCTTACCGAGGATCCCGGCTATTTCGAAACTCATGGACATGTACGGGATGCAGGCCGATCAACCTCAACCTGTAGAACCTGGTATCACTCATCACGAGGAAGTCGACGAGTACACCGCCAAGACCGAAAGCGTCTTTGCCTTGGCACAACCACGTGAGTACCCCATTGTCATTGCCGTTCTCTCTCTTTCTCTCTCCCCGCCCCTCTTCCTCTTTCTCTCTCTTTCTATCTTTTTTTCGACAAAAGCTTTTTCATTTATACTTTTGCTAGCGATTGACCAGGTAATTCGTGTATCGACATGGAACGAATTAAATAAAAGTTGTTCGATCGTTAATCAGTGGAACGGATCGGGCAATATCTGCTTCTTCTTCATCGTACCGGGTTCTACCGGAATCGATTTGAAATTCGATCTTTGCCTTTAGGCGTCGAGGGCTCGTACAAGGCGATAATGGGACTTATTGAGTCTCTCTCTCTTTTTTTCTCCGTCAAAAACGTTCTCTCTATATAATATACATACATAATGCATGTTTCTTCCTTCGAGAAAAATGGAAAGAAGAAGGAGGGAAGGAAGGTTCAGAAGAAGACACGACTTACTTCTACCTACGCGAATCCTTTAGGCGAGATTATCCTCGAATCCTTTGTAGGGTAAAAGGCATGTACTCGTGTTAGTAGGCTATCTTACAACCTGTGTTTAACTCTTCCTCCCTGTATTCATATATTAAAAAAATGTATTGTTAAAAAACACCTCGAGAAATGATCGACGCGAACAACCGACGGCTTCTTCTTCTACCTGCTTCCAGTTAATCTGAATTTCATGGCCGTATTAACGTACTTAATATAGGCTTGATCGATGTACTGCGTCACTTTGAAAATTTCGAGATCAATCTTGATAGCGTAACTGATAATTACGTATAACTTGTTCCACGAAACGGCATTTATTCAACATGTTCTTTTGATCTTTTCACGAAAGTTGTCTTTTCATGTTCGTAATGCTGGGAATAATTTTCGCGTCGAACCTTTAAAAAATATATAATTTTAAAGATTTCCATGTACGTAGGTAACAGGTGAACAGATACACATATATGTGCGCACATACGTAGATGCATACGTAAATACATAAATATATAAGTGTATACGTAAATACATACATACATATATACATATATATATATATATATATATATATATATATGTATATGTATGTATATTAGACTTTTTTAAATAGTTTTGTTCTTCTAGATTTACATTTAAATTGTTAACAATGTTGCACATTTATACGAGAATGAATCACGCGCGAACGTAGTCCAAGCTGTCTGCGGAGACGTATAAAAGTCAACGTGAGCTACAAATCAACGATAACTAATTACTCGTTGAAATTTGTTCGCTTTGTTTTAAGAAAGATAAAGCTTCGCTTGGAGATTCTTTCGTTCACGTTTGTTTTGCAAGATGAAACGCAGTATTTTCTTTATGTTCATGCAAGGTCACTTAAATATGGGCGATGCCGATCGAAAACATAAAAACGATTGGATTTCATAGAATAAATTATAAAAACGATAAATATCGAAATCGTTCGAATTAATGAAATAAATGAGAAAAGTTGTTTAGGTATGTAAACAAAAAAATTATTGTATATAGAGTTCGATTTGTTTTCCGCATTGCGGAATTTCCTTACGATGAAAATCGATGATTAAATGTTCTATTCTATTCGCACATAAACATATCGCAAACTGCTTGAACGAATATTATAATCCTTCTATCTTAGGATAGTAAAATAAAGTTCTTGCGAACAGCATTTAGAGACACGTTTTCCGAACCGATGACGAATCCTTTTCAACTATTAATGCGGTTTTACGTGTCTTAGCATTCATTTATTTGTTTTACATGTGTTTTTGTTCTGATTCGTATCGATAATAGGACATTACTAATTGATCACAGAAGAGCATAATATCATTTTTTTTACTGAAGTAAGAAAATGAAGAAATAACAAGAGAAAAAGAAAAACAAATACATTCTTTTCATTATTATTTATTATCTTCATTGTATTATTTATATTAATAATAATAACAAAAGGAAAAGTAAAAGTTAATCGTTGTTTCGTATTTTTTATATTTTGTTGGCTGTTATCACTTAACAAAAAATACAATGGATACCACACGTTTCCTTCGATTTGTTTATATCAGTATGAGACAGAAGCTCTTTACTTTGTTAATTATATCGAAAACGGGTTTTACACACCAAAGGAAGAAGATAGTCAGATGGTATCTTTAGAGAACAGGACGATAGCGAACGAAATATCAAATTCGTGGGGGTTATCGCTTAGGGCGACCCATATCGCTTTACGAGTACTTTGCAACTGTTACAGGACGCGATCTTTGGATCTCGATCTTACAAATTTGTTCTTATTCTCTTTCTTTCTTTCTTTCTTTATCCGTTCTTTCGTATTTACTTCTCTCTCTTTGAATTTTCATCTCTCTCTTTTCCTTTACTTCTTTTTCTTTCTCTTTCCTTCTTACTTCTCATTCTTGCATCTGGATTTCCTTCGGCGAAACGGCAGTCAGTTTTTTGTAGTACATCCTCGAGAGATCGATCGATCTTGGTCGTTCGGTTGCAAGTCGATCGAATGTGCGTGCGTGAACATCAACAATTTTTATATAATACACACAACATACATATATACATATACATATACATATACATATATACTTACAAGACGTTTCCATTTTCCAGATTATTCTCTTTCGATTTTTACCATGCTATACGTATCTATAATATGCATGTAGGTGTATGCAAAGAATTAATTCGAAACAAGCAAGCGAAATAATTTCGGTGTACGTACGTGTCTTGGAATTGAATTGTAAGCGTTCTAACAACGATCTGTCATATGCGCGATTTGTGGTTAACGAATTAGTCACTTCCTTACGGTGTTTTTGTCGTCTGGCCTGCGTTTATTCAACCGAAATAACTTCTTTGTTCTTTTCGACACTGAACGAGCTGCATTCGAACGTTTACATTATCGCTTTGATGGAAAAATTTCGTATAAATAGCGAAAACGAATTATTTTTCTATCTAATTCTTGCCATTGGTTTTTTTTTGAGGAGTGGAGGCGGCTCCCTCAAGAGAGAGGAGAACTTTTCCGTTTTGTGAAAAGTAAGAAACTAAATACAATCGAATCTGTTCTAATGTTCTCGATAGATTAAATTTCTTTTTTTCTCAGAATTATTCTTTTTAATATTTAATTTTTCTTTTTTTCCTGAGTATATATATATACATATATATATATATATATATATATAAACTAGATTGATTTTTTCAAACAAATTTATTTCAAGTTTAGTGCCGCTCGGAGAGAAAGGGGTAAGGAAAGAAAGAGGAGGAGGGGATGGAGAGAGAGAGAGAGAGAGAGAGAAAGAGAGAGAGAGACATTAACCTGTTGAAATAAGGTTACAATCCAAGCTGAGACGGGCGTGTACGAATTTCCAAGTACGAACGACGAACCGGCCTCGATTTGTAACGAAGGTCACGGCCGATGCACAGCCTAGGTCAGGCCCATCGCTCATTATCGCGTTAAAGCTGTCTGTAGTAGGTGACAGGTCGCTGTTAGGACTCTTCTAGTTTAGAATCGATCTTTCTCCTCTTATTTTGAACTTTCTTCTTTGCGAGTATTTTATTTGTTTATTTTTATTAAAAGTTTTTAAAAAATTTAATTAATGCTGACTCGTTATAATAATGCATTTTCGCGGTATCCTCAGTTCATCTTTACCACGTTAAATTATATTTATCGTTACTTTATTAAATGACCGAAAAAACGAGTCTATTTCAACATGATTTCATGCAAATTTATCGTCGTATCCGATATTTCAGGGACGTATAATACTTCGTAATATTTTTAGTTGTCATATCGTAAATGAAATAATTCTTATTAACAACCCGTTGTGTGAATTTAATTCGTGTCATTTAACGACCCGTAAAGACGTGCGCTTAAAAAAACGGAACTTCCATCAAAAAGAGCCGGAAAAGTGAATATACGAATAGTTTAACTGATATTGCCTTTTTTCTTTTCATATTCTTCAATATTTGATTTTTACGTCATTGTTGCATCATGTGATTTGGTAATTTTATTGAAATATCCCTATATTTAAATTTATCGAGATTTATTTGACTGTAACCATCGTCCATAGAAAAAGAAGCACATGGGTTAGAAAAAAAAATATTTTTATTAATTGATAACTATTTTCAATGTTCGAACGTAACTCGGTGATTACCGAGAATAATCAAAATCTTATGTGAGAAGAGTTATTAAAAGAATCGAGTATCGCGATAGTCGTCCACATAAACACTCTTTTTCAGTACATGCTATCGCTATCGCGAATTTTTTTTCACACATGTATACTTCAACCATATGTTTGATAACATACAGCCGTAGAAGTTACGATACGTTGACAATGACTTTTGGTTAAATGTTGTTTATCGTTGGTACAACGTTTCTATTTTCTATTTCAATTACGTATTCATTTTGTTTTAGATAGTAACAGTATGAAAATAGTATGAGTATAGTCTCCAATCTATAATTAACTAAGGATCACCCAACTTATAATAAATTAAAATATATTCGTCTATTTATCGAACGATCTCTCCGATCTTTTCATCTCCGAACCTTGTAGCGCGCGTGCAGCCTTAAATCCACCCGCTTTCGTGAAATGAATAACTCTGGAACAGATACATAATAATGACAGTTCTGATAGCGGCACTTGCGGTCAGCATACTCGCAGACAGGCGCCGCACTTTTAGTGGTTCTCAATATTATTTACTGACATCCGAATGATCACGCTTTTCCTTCGAGGAATACGCGTGCTCGCCTGTGCTTTTTCTGTAACAGATAATACCAAAATACGGACTTCGAATTCGATTTTTTCTTTTATCGTTGCAAACAATTATATTCTTTTTCTTTGTGAAAGATTATTTATTAAAATTTATTGCGTCATCGACAATATATGCTCCGATTTCAATTTGCACGGAAAGATTCAAGATTAATGTCATTTTTCGGATTATCGGATTAGCTAATCGTTGTCACTCATTAACAACGTAAGATGCCATCGAAACCACTTAAATACTTTGCGTGTGCAATCGAGATCAAACATTTTAACACCGAGATG